ATAACTGATTGATCGGAAATGCCACAACTTTGGTTTTTGTTAAGTTAGGAAGTTGGGATTTTCTATGGGTTCTATTTTTAACCAATCAATCCAACCTATCAAATTTCATAAGGATCGGCCGACTATATCCTATAGCTGCCATATAACTGAACGATTGGAAATGCCATAACTTTGGTGTTTTTAAAGTTAGGAAGTTGGGATTTTTTATGAGTATTAAGATTGCATCATATGAATAATTTTGGAGAATATAATTTACAGAATATTCTGCAAGGGTATATCAACTTCGGCTCCGCCCGAAGTCAGCTTTTCTTTCTTGTTTTTCTTCTTTTTTTTTCATCTCATCTATTTGGTAACGCGAATTGCAGCAACTACTATTCAGCATTCCCTTTTGTAAGCCATCCTACACAAACTATTTCAGTTGTAATTACAGGTGATTATGGTCTTGCTTTCTAGGTTTCTTTAACTTATTGCTGAAGATCGGTAATATAAAAATATATTTCCTTTTAAGATCTTTTCGATATTATTGAGCTCTGCATCTTGTTGTTGCATAAATTTCTTGTTGTTATTCTCAATGCCATTGTTATTTGCGAAATATTTAGAACAATTCGATTACACAATGTTGGGAGGGAGAGAGAGCTGGTGGGATAAAGATTGGGTGAATAGCAACTAGTTTACCCACCTTCCCGCCGTTGTTATTGTTTACCCGCTTATATTATTTTTAATTGTTTTTCAGTTCCCGCCCACCAACCTTGCGACACGCGCGCGCTTTTCCCCTTTCCCCCCGCTTTCCCCCTCCCCCGCTTTTTCACGTATTTCCCCACTACTTTGCGCGAATCGAGTTATCAGAGAAATGCTCGAGCTGATAAGCAGATAGAGATACACGACGTGTGCGGATGGATGGTGATAAAGTTGAGGTGTTGCTGGGGATACGTTCAATTCAGGTGCCAAGGTTTCAAGTTTATTTCAATTTGTTGTTGTTGTTGTAATTGAATTTACAAACGTAAACGAAGCGTAACGAACCGAACCGAACTCAAGCAGTTCCGTTTTTTCCCGTCTCTTCTTTTATGCATAAATGTTATTTCTTGGAATGTGTATATCTTTTTTCTTTATTAGTCACTAGATTCATATGTATAGTTCCCCACCAATCATTAACAAAAAATCATTATTTTGTTTATTTATTGGAATGTTTAAACAAAATGTTTACTTAAATTCGAAAGTGGGTTTAACATAAATTTTATTTCGCTTGTACATTTGAAAGGGAGACAGCGAAATGAAGTTGTCTTTGACACGAAACTGCTGCCATCGCCCCATATGGCTTTGCCACGCCCCCTCTTCAGAGGCCCTCCTCGGTCTCTTTGCTGCCCCCCCCTCTTCCGCCTCGCTTTTTACGCCCCCTCTCCGCCCGTTTCCCACCTCCTCTCCGCCCTCCTTCTTCCGCATACACGGACCAAGTCAAAAGCGCGCTCAATGACCCCCAACAGCGTCCTACATTCGCGACTTGGCGCCCCTTTTCCCACCCTCGACTTTACCACCCAAAACCCCCCTGCTGTTGCTCCCCTTTTTTTCAATTTTTTTTTTCTTTCTTTCTTTGTGTGCACTTGTCGTTTGACAACGTTTTCGTCTTTCTTTGCCGCTTTCGCTCTTTCCTCGCTTTTCCTCGCTTTCCCTTCTTCATTTTCCTCCCTCTTGTCAAGTGCAGCAGTGAAAATCCTTTTTCCCCTCGCTTTGCCTGCCTTTTGAGACCAAATTTCAATTCGATTAATCAAAAATGAAATTCAGGTCAACCTTGTGTAAATCGCAGGAAGAATTAGATAAATTACTTAGACTTTGGGTAAGGGAAAACAACTTTAGAAGTATCTTACACTTAATCTTATATATTTTTATAGGTTTAAGACCAAGTATTATACTGCAAACCCCTTAAAAAAAGAATAAATTACCAGCAACTGCATTAAATACCATGAATTTGAGTCTGCAAAGTCACATAGCCCCACTTAATTGTTTTCCAGTTAAACAAAATTCGACGTATGGCCCATACGGTCTGTAATAACACAAATAAAAACATTGGTTAAAGAGCCTTGAACTGGAAACCCCCAAAAACAAATGGATTGGGCGGGGGTGAGCAAACATAAGCAAAGGTTGACTAAGTTTGCTTTTCCGGGGGGAAAACGAGGCAAGAGATTAACGCGTAATAAGTGTGCCCCAATTTCTGCTTGAATTCAGCGAGGAAGTCGCCACATATTTAATGTCGAGGGGGTGGGGGGCATCTTGAGGGGGTGGTTAACACAAAAACGACCGAAAAAAAAAACATCGAAAACGTGCGCAAAACGAAAAGGCAGATAAGACAGCGAGACGAAGGACAAAGAAAGAACACTACAAGTGACAAACCCCAGTTTTTTTTTTGTATATCTTTTTTTTTTTTTTTTTGACCAGCTATCAGCCGCATGCCACACGACAATATATATGTATGTATGTACCGCTGCTGTATACATATGTACTCAAACACATGGCTCAATGTCAAATGCGTTGATTTCTTCTTATTGTTCGGTGAATAAAACGTTTTATATCCACCACACCAATGACGTCACAAACTGATCAGCCAGTTATCAATATTCGTGCTTTTCTCATTTGGCTTATGATTAATCGGGCGTATAAATAGCTTTGAGCTGCATCCTCGTCTCTCTGATTAATGCAGGATACCAAACTCATATTGGTTTCTGTATTTTTAACAAGTATGACTATTTCTTTGGGTTTTCGCATTTAGTACTTAGTGAGTTATTTGATTCATTGTGCATTTCATAAGTCTCAGAAATGTGTGTCATTGATGGGAAATTGGATTCCGGGTGCTGTATCGCAGAAGATGATTTAAGAGGATGGCTATTTGAATAGGAAGCTGGGTAGCTAGCTCCAAATGTATCTAAGCCATTTGTGAAAAGGTATAACCTGAAAATAGCTTTGCTAGTAAGACTGAAACCACCTCTGAAGTGTTATCAGATTTTGCCATAAAACCGGAACTGACGTGGTGAAAAAAATCACCTTTTACTGGCGAACTTCACCTTTTATTTATAGTTGGTAACAAAGAAAACGCAGATACATTGGTGGGTATGACAAATGCCGCTTTAAGGTTATAGGGTTTTAAACTATTTCGCTTGGGAAATTTACCATGTATATATCAGTGCCTTTTTATTTAAAATTTTCTGTTTTTCCGGATCAATCCAGTTAAGCTCACCTGGGTTTTACCCCTTTGCGGCCCTTCTAACTCTGCTTTGTCTCCGTTTTGTGGGCCACTTGTGCAATCCACCCCGCTCCCCTTCCCCTCCCTTCCCTTCCCTCTTTGTTGGCCATCTTCTCCGTTGCCTTTTGGCACCTCATTTGGCCAGCAACTACTACTCTCTTGGCTGCTTTTGCTGCTCCCATTTTGTTTTGGCCGTCCATCATTTCAAGTTAACGGTTGCGCGTGCATTGAAAGCAACAGCAACAACAACGAAACTAACACACTTTTTGCCCCCCCGAAACACCAACACCCCCCCTCCATCCCCCTCTCCTGTGAGCCTCTTGCCCTCTTGTTGTACGCTTTCTGGTTTTTTGGTTTCTATAAGTTGAGCGATTTTTTGTTGCTTCTTCGTTTGGGTTTCGTTTCGTTTTGTTTTGTTTTTGTACAGATTCCTCCATACTTTCGCTTTTTTTTTCGCCCCGTAAAGACCCCCCTTTCCCCTCCCCGCAGCTTAATTTTTTTTGTTTTTTTTTTGGGGTCCCTTGGTATTGCCGCTTTTGGCATTCTTGTTGTCAGTTATATTGCTTTTGTTGCGTCGCTTTAATAGTCAACATTGACATGCTCAGCTGCGCATTTTAATGCGTTGTGCCTGCCATACCACCACCCACCCACCACCCCCTTTTCAATGTATATATAAAAGGCACCCCCCGCACCACCTGTACACAGCGATGAATTTCCGCAAATTAGGTTATTAATTGGGGACTTGATTAAATGGGAAATGGATTAACCTTTCTTAAGGCTTACATCAAATTATATTGAATCAATTCTTAGTCGCTTGAAATCGCAGAGATGGGGATTTGACTGTGATAATATGATTCCACAATCTAAGCCCCATTAAGGTATTTTTTCTACCTGTACCGAGGCATTTTCTTCTACCTTATTTTAACATGATTATTTTGTGTATTTCTCTGCCGTTGTGACTGCTTCGTTTTTTTTTTCAACTTTAAATGGTTGCCATATTGGCTGGAGAAGCAACAAGAAAAGTGTGGAGAAATGAGGGGCGGAGGCGGAGGAGGAGGCGCCCCATACACAGTGCTTTTATTGAAAGAGAAATTAACTGAAATTTACTTCGCTGCTGGTCACCGAGCAAAGCCAAAAGGCCCCGGTGCCACAGTTGTTGGCCCAGTTAATTAAAAGCGTGCCCCCCGACTACCCGCTTTCCTGCACAAATCCATCCTCCCCTCGAATCACCACCCCGTGGAAAACCCCTTGGAAACGAACACTCCGATGTCAGGGTTGAGTTGAGTTCGGGATGGGTGCTTGGTTTGGGGGGGAAGGGGAGGGGGTTGTGTATTATCGATGGGCGTTGAAATGTTTATGGCAAGATTACACCGTTTACTGATTTGACACAGCTCTCTGTGTCGTGGGCCTTTGTTTGTGACGTCGATAGGTGGGATAAGACCAGGAAGGGATTAGGTTTATGATGTGTTACTTGCAGATGGTTCATGACTGGATCATGGGTTTTTAAAGAAATAAAGTAAAGGATTCTGTGTTGATTATTTCCCAAAGAAACTCTCAATACCCGTAAATTTGATGGTAGACAGCAAGCAACATCAATTTTATATCAGACATATTATTTAGCTATCGGCTTAATCGATATGCTCTCGCCCAATTGAATCATTTGGGTAGTTGTGCCCGCTGCCCCCGTTTTATTCCCTACATTTATCTGTTTTGTACCACCACCGACCGTTGACTAACTTTCCCTTCCACTTTCTCTCTCTTTTTGCAGAACCAGCGACAGCGGCTCAACCACCGAACTGGCGCGTGAGAATCTCTTCCAGCCGAACATGGACGATGCCAAGCCGGCCAGCAATAACAGTAGCAATATGAACAAGTCCTCGGCCTACGGCGATGCCTTCAGTTCATCCCCGAACGGATCGGCTTCAGGTGGGCGTGGGGTCATTTGCTCCTTGGAGAATCAACCGCCTGTGCGCCAGCAGCAAATGGCCACGCCCACTGGGGCCAATTCGGCCCCCGAGGCGGCCAACTCGGCGCCCCTTTCCGTTTCCGGATCGGCATCGGAGCGGGTGAACAACCGGAAACGCCACCTGTCCAGCAGCAATTTGGTCAACGATCTGGAGATACTCGACAGGGAACTGAGCGCCATCAATGCGCCCATGCTGCTGATCGACCCGGAGATCACCCAGGGAGCCGAGCAGCTGGAGAAGGCGGCCCTGTCCGCCAGCAGGAAGAGATTGAGGAGCAACAGCAGCAGCGAGGACGAAAGCGATCGGCTGGTGCGCGAGGCCCTGTCCCAGTTTTACATACCGCCGCAGCGCCTGATCTCCGCCATTGAGGAGTGTCCACTGGACGTGGTTGGTCTGGGCATGGGAATGAATGTGAATGTGGGCGGCATCGGTGGAATAGTGGGTGGATGCGGTGGGATCGGAGGAGCAGCAGGCGCTGGCGTCGAAGTTTCCGGAGGCAAGCGGATGAAGCTGAACGACCATCACCATCTCAACCACCACCATCACTTGCACCATCACCTGGAGCTGGTCGACTTCGATATGAACCAAAACCAAAAGGATTTCGAGGTGATCATGGACGCACTGAGGCTGGGGACGCCAACGCCGCCGAGCGGCGCTAGCAGCGATTCCTGCGGACAGGCGGCAATGATGAGCGAATCGGCCAGCGTTTTCCACAATCTGGTGGTCACCTCGCTGGAGACATGAAAGTACCAGTGAATCCCCGAGCAGCAGACAAAGATTAAAGAGTTTAGATTTTATATTAGTAGACACTTGCATAGAGTTTTTAAGGAAACATTTAGGCTATGACACATATACTAACCTAAGCTATTATATAGTAAAGAAAGGAAGGAAGATCGGACGGATTGGCCAGTATTACTCATTAATGGCGGTCGCGATTTGTACAAACAAAAATACACAAAAAAATAGTAGTAGGCAAAAGAGAAAAACAAAACAAAAATCAAAGAATTTGTAGTCAAAACAGCAGAAACAAACAAAAACCAGAACAATCTATAAGTTTAATTTAAAGAAATGAAAAACTCCATACTTGTAACAAATCAACAAAAATTCAGTTGTGGTTTCCATTTCGGTTTCGTAGAGAGCTCTGTTTATATGAAGAAATTGAACAGAATAACTTCCAATTAAACAAAAAATATATAGAAGGCAAGCACATTCCACATTGCTAAACATTATATCCCCAAATTTTGTTCCTACTGAATTTTTGTTTTTTTTTCTACCATATCCATTGGATATTTTTAAATATCTCACATACGCAAAATATCAAAAAATATAATGCATTTAGGAAATATAAATATATATTTTTAAAGAAAACACATGGAAGTTCTCCTAGTCACAAAAAAGAAATACAAACGAAAGAGAACACAAAACAATCCAAAATAAAATTGAAAAAAAACAAGGTTTCATTTATTAAATTCCAAATAAAGGTCGATCATTAAACTTGATTTGATCCCATTTTTTTGCCTCTGCACAAACACTCATGATAAAGACAATGTTCTATGAAGAAAACTGAGACATGAAAGCAAATTAAATAGCAATTTAAACAAAAAACAAAACACAAAAAAATATTATACAAAAAAAGTGCAATTAGAATTTTTTAAAATATAGAAAGCAAGCCTCAAAAACAAAAACAAAAAACCAACAAAAGTGCATTCAAAAAGATTTAAACACAAATCGGGCAAATTAACAAATTATGAAAGTAATAATTAGTAGTAATGAATAAAACAATTTAAGGCAAACAAACAAAAACCACAAAAAAAAAACTAAACAATTTTTTCTTCGAAAAAAATTACGGCTGTGATAGAATTTTAAGTTTTTTGGCTAAAAAGAAAGAAACCACAAAAAGTTACCATTAAAAAGCAAACAAAAGTACTACAAAAAAAAAATACCAAGCATAAAATCATGAATATTATGATCTATGTGTAAAATGAACATTTAGTATTAGTAAAAACAAAACAAAACTAATTGTGTAGAAGAAAATCGCGAGCTGTACTTTCTTTCAGCAAGAGAGAAGCGAAAGAGAGTATCTCTCAACTTTCGCTCGCTTGGCTTTCATTGATTTTATATATATGTATACAGATATAAAAATATTTTTTTTGCATTTTCTATAAGTCGCCTCGCCTCGCCTAAGCTTTCGTTTTCGTTTCACGTTTCTCGCTTTTGTTTTCGTTCGCGTCTTTTGGCCCAAAAGAAACCAGACCACATCCCAATCTGTTCCCCCAACGGTAAAGATATATTCCTTTTAAAGGCGGAATACAAAAGGGCGGGAAAGTCAAAGACTAAAGACTCCAAGAATCTAGAAAGCAGGTGCTTCATCGATCACCGTTTTTTACTGTTGTCCCCCATTAACACATTTTGTTTAATGCTTAAGTTTTTTTTATACGATTATTTTTGATATGATTATGTAATTATTGTGAGTTTTTAACTAGACGAATTATCCATATGTATTTCCATTTTAGTTAATATTCCTACATACATATATACATTATATATATACATATATATAGTGTTCTGCCCGATCCCGTATTGATCGCGTCGCAGACGAACTATTAAGCATTCAAAGCTATGCAACAAAGGCAAAATAAATTATACAAAAAAAATTACAAAAAAAATATGTTTTTATTTAATTTCGTTGATTCATTAGAAGTGTTGATTTTTTAAGGTGGAAAGGAATTTTTGTTTGAAATGCATTTTTATGCACAACTTTGGTTTTGTGTTTAAGGCTATTATCGATTTTGGTATAATTTCACCTACTTCTTCGATAATGTTTTTGTTATTGGTTCTTCATTCTTTAATTTGTTATCGATACGATTGCTTGTGCATAATTGTCGATAACGATTGCCCAATAGCTGTGAGATCATCGTCATAGCTTCGAGCCCCGAAAATTCGTCTGTGGTTGACCTAGCCCAGGGTTAAGCCACTGGCTTTTGTTTTGTTTTTTGTTTATACATATTTGGGGGTCAAATTTATTGAAAGCAAAACGATCAACACACTCCAAACTGTTCCGTTGACTGCATTCCGCGGGCTGGATTTTTTGTATTTTCGCTTTGAATGCCAAATTTTTTGACCGACGTCTCCTGCTTTTAGATGGGTCTTTGGCTTTAGCTTTCGGTTTCATTTTTTTTGTTTCTGGCTTTGGGCTTTGAGTTTTTGGCCAATGCCGCACTCGTTCAACGACTCTTGATTTCTGGCCTTGGCTAAAAGATTTGTGGCTTCCAGTCCGATGGATCTGAATCATTAAGATAGTCTTAATGGGGGAGTTATATTGCATTGCGTAATTTTGAAACAGTGGATAATATGCCATGACTTCCTATGTTTTTAAACAAAACAATTACAATTTTGCTACATATATTTTATTTTAAAGAAAATCATAAAAAGAAGTTTGTTTATATTTTCTTTATATTTTTATAGATTTTTAACAACATAAATTATTCACTTTCAAAGGAAATGTTAATTAATCAAAATAAGAATGGGGGAACAGAAAATAATATACATAAAGTGGGCCATTTTTGATTTGCCAACTGAATAATACCTCTTAATCTATGGACCAGTCTCTCTAGCACCTACACATATGTAACTATATTAACTTGATTTCCGATCAATGAATTGTAGTCACAAAGTTGGAAAATACGGCTTTTCACATTCGTTTTTGATTTGAATGTTCCAAATGATTTAACTTCTTAGAGATTATATATATATGTATATATATATATATATATTTAGTATATACATACATGTAGAAGAGTTAAGGATACATAAGTGCTTTTTAATGGAATATATAGACCGCAACAGAGAAATAACAACTCACATTGTGAGGACGACAAGTAACATTGTATTGAATGACAAATGACATATGAACTAAATATACAGAGCCTAGATGTACGTATTTATTATGAGTTGCTTTTAGCGTGATAATTCATTAGCGAAGGTCTTAAGTGAACAATTTGCAAATAAATTCTAAGAAAAGCATATACATATGAATCTTCTTTCAGTTGTTTCATTAATATATCAAGACTTAGCAGGGCTGGTTATCATGATGATCATCACCACCCAGGACGCCCAAAGGTGACCCACACTTGGACTTCTAGATTCCATAACTTTACCAAATATAATCAGATTTCAAAGTGACATACCTCTAAAGACTTGTGGTTGTATTCTCTGAAAATCTGCATTCAAAATTTTCTTTTTAGCGTTGACCGATTTTTTGATCCATTTTCATGTTGGTTATTTCTAAGTTTCCGATGAATTGCCCAAAGGTGACCCACACTTGGACTTCTAGATTCCATAACTTTACCAAATATAATCCGATTTCAAAGTGGCATACCTCTAAAGACTTGTGGTTGTATTCTCTGAAAATCTGCATTCAAAATTTTCATTTTAGCGTTGACCGATTTTTTGACCCATTTTCATGTTGGTTATTTCTAAGATTCCGATGACTTGTCCAAAGGTGACCCACAATTGGACTTCTAGATTCCATAACTTTACCAAATATAATCCGATTTCAAAGTGGCATACCTCTAAAGACTTGTGGTTGTATTCTCTGAAAATCTGCATTCAAAATTTTCTTTTTAGCGTTGACCGATTTTTTGATCCATTTTCATGTTGGTTATTTCTAAGTTCCCGATGAGTTGCCCAAAGGTGACCCACACTTGGACTTCTAGATTCCATAACTTTACCAAATATAATCCGATTTTAAAGTGGCATACCTCTAAAGACTTGTGGTTGTATTCTCTGAAAATCTGCATTCAAAATTTTCATTTTAGCGTTGACCGATTTTTTGACCCATTTTCATGTTGGTTATTTCTAAGTTTCCGATGAGTTGCCCAAAGGTGACCCATACTTGGACTTCTAAATTCCATAACTTTACCAAATATAATCCGATTTCAAAGTGGCATACCTCTAAAGACTTGTGGTTGTATTCTCTGAAAATCTGCATTCAAAATTTTCATTTTAGCGTTGACCGATTTTTTGATCCATTTTCATGTTGGTTATTTCTAAGTTTCCGATGAGTTGCCCAAAGGTGACCCACACTTGGACTTCTAGATTCCATAACTTTATCAAATATAATCCGATTTCAAAGTGGCATACCTCTAAAGACTTGTGGTTGTATTCTCTGAAAATCTGCATTCAAAATTTTCATTTTAGCGTTGACCGATTTTTTGATCCATTTTCATGTTGGTTATTTCTAAGTTTCCGATGAGTTGCCCAAAGGTGACCCACACTTGGACTTCTAGATTCCATAACTTTACCAAATATAATCCGATTTCAAAGTGGCATACCTCTAAAGACTTGTGGTTGTATTCTCTGAAAATCTGCATTCAAAATTTTCTTTTTAGCGTTGACCGATTTTTTGATCCATTTTCATGTTGGTTATTTCTAAGTTTCCGATGAGTTGCCCAAAGGTGACCCACACTTGGACTTCTAGATTCCATAACTTTACCAAATATAATCCGATTTCAAAGTGGCATACCTCTAAAGACTTGTGGTTGTATTCTCTGAAAATCTGCATTAAAAATTTTCATTTTAGCGTTGACCGATTTTTGGATCCATTTTCATGTTGGTTATTTCTAAGTTTTCTATGAGTTGCCCAAAGGTGACCCTCACTTGGAGTTCTAGATTCCATAACTTTACCAAATTTTAACCGATTTTAAAGTAGCATGCCTTTTAAGACTTGTGGTTTGATTCTCTAAACATCTGTATTAAAATTTTTAATTTTAAAGTTGATAAATTTTTGACCCATTTTCATAGTCCATAAGCTTTGACCACCTATATGAAAAATCTGGCTAGTATCTGAAATAATAATATAAAAGAAAAGCCCATAGGAAAATGTTCAATTGCATTTTTAAATTTTATTAAGATCGATGTCAAGTCGCAATGGCCAGGTGTCCCGCATTCCGCAATCGCCTTAGTAACCGTATCCCTGGCTGCAAGGAGCTGGAGTGAAGACGCTCGCACAGCTGAATACATAATTTCTGGGGCACGGTGGCGAGGGAACCGAGGCTCCACTGTAAGAAGGCGCCGGAGCAGCAGATCCGTAGCCTCCAGCTGTCCGTGCCATACTGAGTATGGCTGAATAACCGGAAGATGCGGCAGAGGACTTTGATGCTGTATATGCCAAAGAGGCAGGAGCTGAAGAATACGAGGAAGTAGGAGCTGCTGCTGGCGCTGAATACCCAGCGGATGTGTTTGTAGCTGCAGCAGGTGCTGAATATGCCCGGCCTGAATATCCAGATGAATACGATGGGGCAGCAGGGGCCGAGTAGGCCGAAGACGAGTACGATTGAGCCTTTGGCGCTGAATAAGCTGGGGCAGCTGGAACTGAATAGCTCGATGCAGGTGCTGAATACGATGGGGAGGCAGGTGCAGAGTAGGATGGAGCCGCAGGTGCTGAATATGAAGGAGCCTTGGGTGCCGAATAACTGGGTGAAGGAGGAGCTGAGTATGATGATGATGCGGGTGATGAATAAGATGGCGCAGCTGGAGCTGAGTAGCTGGATGATGCGGGTGCTGAGTAAGAAGGCGCAGCAGGCGCTGAATATGAAGGACCGGCCGGTGCTGAATACGACTGTGCTGGTGCCCCAGGAGCTGAATATGATGGAGCCTTTGACGATGAATAAGATGGTGCAGCAGGCGCTGAGTAGCTTGACGATGCAGGTGCGGAATAGGATGGGGCAGCAGGCGCTGAATACGATTGAGCTGGGGCAGCAGGTGCTGAATACGATGGAGCAGCAGGCGCTGAATACGATTGAGCTGGTGCTGCAGGCGCTGAATAGGATGGAGCAGCAGGTGCTGAATACGATGGAGCTGCAGGTGCGGAATAGGATGGAGCAGCAGGTGCTGAATACGATGGGGCGGCAGGCGCTGAATACGATGGGGCAGCGGGCGCTGAATACGATGGAGCTGCAGGTGCTGGATACGATGGAGCAGCAGGCACTGAATAGGATGGAGCAGCAGGTGCTGAATACGATGGGGCAGCAGGTGCTGAATACGATGGAGCTGCAGGTGCTGAATACGATGGAGCAGCAGGCACTGAATAGGATGGAGCAGCAGGTGCTGAATACGATGGGGCAGCAGGCGCTGAATACGATGGAGCAGCGGGCGCTGCATACGATGGAGCTGCAGGTGCTGAATACGATGGAGCTGCAGGTGCTGAATACGATGGAGCGGCAGGAGCTGAATACGATTGAGCTGGAGCTGCAGGAGCCGAATAGCTGGATGACGCAGGTGCTGAATAAGAGGGAGCTGCAGGTGCTGAATACGATGGCGAGTAGGCCGGGGCAACAGGAGCGGAGTATCCTTGGTCTTTCGGCGCCGAATAGCTGGGCTGCGAATTGTAAACGACCGGAGCGGCATAAGCCTGCGCCGGAATCTCACGAGTGTGTCGCTCCTCGTAGTCGAACTCCGATTCCGGCAAACCCTCGTCGAATTCTTCGTTCCCGAAGGTCGGAAGTGAAGATGCGGTGGCCAAAAGGCAACCAAAGGCCGCGAGAATCAGCAGTCGTCGTCCACACATTGCTCACTGTATTTTGACTAGAGTTTCGTAGAACGGACGGGTTTTATATGGCCAAGAGAAAAACAGATCAGCGAAATCAGCATATTGCTCAATTGCAGTCTGTTGGTGGCTTGTATTCTGACTTTGTGCCATTCTGCATTTGGAGTGGTTTCATTTAAATTTGCTGGAATCGATCGTTTTCCACTCTCTTCTCACTTTTATTTTCATCGCGAAGAGTTGAGTCGGCGTGTTTGGGGAAACCTCTTGGAACCTTTTTATTACCCTTCATATTCATATTGTCTTGTCGCAAAGGCATGCCCATTTTTATTTACAATTCATTTATACAGTTTTAGAGTATTACTTATATTTGATTTATATTTTGGGGGTTCTCATTTGTCAATACAATTAAGCCTAAAGATTTGGTGTTTGGTTTATTTGAATCCGCAAATTATCAAGCTCGTCAATAAATTCAAGAGAAAAGAGTATGCAAAGTAATTAGTTTAAATATGAGTCAGCACTTTCATTCAAAAACTCGGTCATCGATGGAATGCTGAGCTGTCAATATGTGGGTAGTACTGCTGCTTGCATTACAAAAAGAAATAATTGTAAAACTACATGTGTAATAAGTTATGCATTGCAATCAGTGCACTGTTTGGGTCTCTTTTATTTTTCTTTAAACAAGGGTATACGAATTTAAAATAATTTTAAAATGTACTTAATATCTAAAATTAGTTATTGGTTCTTCGACATAAAGCCTCTCAAACTGTACAATTTCAAATTCAAATTTACGCGCCTTTTGCAACACTATTTCGCAGAGTGACCATATTCACCAAACGGAGTCTTCGGTGTCGGCACGCAATGGGCACACTGGCGGGCGAATCAACACGTCAACGCGGCGACTCGACTCTTTTTTTATAAACCGCACACGAATTTCACGTTGTGAGTTGAATAATTAACAATTATTTGCTCTGCTGAATAAAAGTCGATTGGCGAGTGGAAGGAAAGTCGCGAAGGACAGCTGGAAGCGACGAACAAAACGGGACACGTAAGTGGAAAGCGGCACTTCGCTGGAAAGTCGGACTATAGGCGGCGGGGAGAGGCGGGGGTTACAGACAGCTGCTTGCGTTGCAAAAAAAGGGGAAAAGAAGTGAAAGAGAAGGAATTGCGGAAGAAATGTGGAAGTGAAGAAAAAGGTTAATGCTCTTTTAACTGATTTTCGTCAAAAAACCCCACAAAAGGTATTTCCTCCTAGTAAATCCACCGGTAAACTAAGTACTTCTCGACTGCCACATGAGCATTACCTAGAACCTTTTACCGTTAATCCAGTCTAAGTGTTCTATAAAGGATGTGTACAATCTGTTAAAAATCGAAGTAGAAATAATTAATTACATTTGCTGCGGTATTAAAAGTCCTGTTCCTTAAACTATATTAGCACAATATGTGGATACATTCTTATTTTTGCACCAGTAAAATGCAATGAGTTTCAAACGAATTTAGAATTATCATTAAATTAAACTGCCATTCTATTAAACCATATGGTTCGGTGTTTCTAGAAATATCTCGAAAGATCTATTACTTTCTGCAAATAATTATTCTCTAGTAAACCATATATAAAAGGGTGTTAAAAAAAACGTATATTTTGCCGTATTTTTCTAAAAATAAAAAGTTATATTAAAACTTCTGAGAAAATTATTGTTTATGAAAAGCTCTTAATCCGCCCATTTTACCACATTTTATAACCCCACAGACCATGAAACTCGTGCTTTTATTGAGCGCCCTGCTGGCGGGGATTGCCCTTTCCCAGGGAGCCGCCGTGATGTCCGTGGATTTGGGCACTGAGTGGATGAAAGTGGGCGTCGTTTCGCCCGGAGTGCCCATGGAGATCGCCCTGAATCGGGAGTCCAAACGCAAGACCCCTGCGATCCTGGCCTTCCGCGATGGAGTGCGAACCATTGGCGAGGATGCCCAGACCATCGGGATCAAGGATCCCAATTCGGCCTACGGTTATCTGCTGGATTTGCTGGGCAAGACCATAGATAATCCAATTGTTGATTTGTATAGGTGAGTTGGTTTACATTGGGCCACGTCATTGCTGCGACTTAACAACTTATCGCCAAAACCAATCTCTTTTAGGAAACGCTTTCCCTACTACAACATTGTGGGCGATCCGGAACGCAATACTGTGGTCTTCCGCAAGAGCGAGACCGAGGAGTTCTCCGTGGAGGAGCTGGTGGCCCAGATGCTGGTCAAGGCCAAGCAGTTTGCCCAGGAATCCACACAGCAGGCCATCACCGAGTGCGTCCTAACCGTGCCCGGCTATTTTGGCCAGGCGGAGAGGGAGGCCCTGTTGTCGGCCGCCCAGTTGGCCAATCTCAAGGTGCTCCAATTGATCAACGACTATGCGGCGGTGGCCCTCAACTATGGTGTCTTCCATCGCGGCGAGATCAACGAAACGGCTCAGTATTTCCTCTTCTACGACATGGGTGCCTACAAAACCTCGGCGGCCGTGGTTAGCTATCAGCTGGTGAAGGATAAACAGACCAAAGAGATCAATCCTGTGGTCCAGGTCCTTGGCGTTGGCTATGATCGCACTCTGGGAGGCCTGGAGATTCAGTTGAGACTGCGCGACTATCTGGCTAAGGAGTTTAACGCCCTCAAGAAGACCAAAACCGACGTGACCACCAGTCCGCGAGCTCTGGCCAAACTATTCAAGGAAGCTGGACGCCTCAAGAACGTCCTGTCAGCCAATACAGAGTTCTATGCCCAAATCGAGAACCTGCTGGAGGACATTGACTTTAAGCTGACTGTATCCCGGGAGAAACTCGAGCAAATCTGCGAAGATCTCTGGCCCAGGGCCACCAAGCCATTGGAACAGGCCTTGGCCTCCTCTCACCTCAGCTTGGATGTGATCAATCAGGTGATATTGTTCGGCGGCGGCACTCGGGTGCCACGTGTCCAAGAGACCATCAAGGCGCTCATCAAGCAGGAGCTGGGCAAGAATCTGAATGCCGATGAGTCCGCCACCATGGGTGCTGTTTACAAGGCAGCCGATTTATCTGCCGGCTTTAAGGTCAAGAAGTTTGTGGTCAAGGATGCCACGCTGTTGCCCCTGCAAGTGTCCTTCGAGCGGGATCCCGGCGAGGGTGCTGCCGTGAAGCAGGTGAAGCGTGTCCTGTTCGCCCTAATGAATCCCTATCCCCAGAAGAAGGTCATCACCTTCAACAAGCACACAGATGACTTTGAGTTCTACGTGAACTACGCCGATCTTGATCGTTATAGCAAGGAGGAGATTGCCGCCTTAGGCAGCTTGAACGTGACCAAAGTGCAGCTGAAGGAGGTTAAGGAGCTGCTGGAGAAATCGAAGAAGGAATTGGTGGACAACAAGGGCATCAAGGCCTACTTCTATCTGGATGACTCGGGCATTTTCCGCTGCACAGGCGTGGAGTATGTGTACGAAAAGCAAAAGCCTGAGGAAGATGCCGACGAAGACAGCACCTTGTCCAAGTTGGGCAGCACTTTGAGCAAGTTGTTCGCTAAGGAAGGCGACGAGAAGAAGGAGGACTCGGAGCAGGGAGAGGAGCCATCTAATACTGGTGAGGAGCCGCCAAAGGCGGAGGACAGTGAGAAGCCAAAAGAGGAGGAGGCCAGCAGCAAAGAGCAAAAGTCTGAGGAGACCAGCAAACAGGAGGCTGAAGCCAAAAACGATACCATTAAGCTTGTGACGGTCAAATCCCCAGTGACCTACGAGTCCCAGACGCAGTTCACCATCCCACTGGCCGGTTCTGGATACGATATCTCCTTGGCCAAACTGGCAGCCATCAACAAGGCGGAGGAGCAGCGTGTCCGCTTGGAGTCTGCCTTCAATTCCCTAGAAGCCCACATCATTGAGGTGCAACAGAAATTGGAAGAAGACTCTTATGCCAAATGTGTCACCGCCGAGGAGAAGGAGAAACTCCTAGCCGAATGCAGCACTTTGGGTGAATGGCTGTACGAAGATCTCGAGGATCCCAAGGCGGAGATCTACGAAGAGAAGCTGACGCAACTGAAGAAGCTATCCAATGTCTTTTTGGCCCGCCACTGGGAGCACGAGGAGCGGCCAGAGGCCATCAAGGCACTCAAGGGCATGATTGATGGAGCCGAAAAGTTCCTTGTCACCGGGCGCAATCTCACCAAGGACACCAATCCCGAAAAGGACGTCTTCACCCAGGTGGAGATCGATACGCTGGCCAAGGTTATAACCGAAACAAGTACTTGGCTGAAAACGGAAACGGCCGCCCAGAAAAAGCTGGCCAAGAATGCCGATATCCGGCTGACCGTAAAGGACATTACGGACAAAATGGGCCTGCTCGATCGCGAGGTCAAGTATTTGGTTAACAAGATCAAGATCTGGAAGCCCAAGGTGAAGCCAGTTGCTGAGAAGGATAAGAAGAACAAGGGGGAGGAGGAAGTGGCTTCCTCGGGCAGTGGCGATGGCTCCAAAACGGAGGAGGGCGAGGAGCAGCAGGAACAGCCGGAGAAGCAGGAGCCTGTGGAGGAGATCACTCCAACGCCCGCAGGGGAGGAGGCCAAGACCCCGCACAGTGAGCTCTAAGGAGCCGGATTAGATGGATTAGCAGGATTAAAAGCACCAAGAGCATCCGGAGCAGCAGGAAGCCAAGTGCCTGTCTTAGGATTCGAAGAAGGATTCAAATCAGGGGGTTCAACAGGGGGAAAAAGACGGCTAATGGTCACGAAACGGGGGCGTCTTAATTTCTATGATTTTTTTAGCTAAAGTCGGGGTTAAATTATGCTACTTCTAATCTAAAAAGAAAAAAAACACAAAAACCACACACAAATAATGTAAACCGTAACTAAACTAAATGTAAAAACCATTTTCCATACCATTCCGCATAGGAAATACAAGACTTGAAGAAGTACTCACACGATCCCCTCTATATATCCTCTATATCTTATTGATCGTAGCGAAAGTAGCGAAACGAATTGGGCGGGAGCCGAGTTAAGATCGTAATAAATCTAAAATCTAATCGTACAGAGCGAAAGAGAGCAAATAAAGTTTGTATTGTATTGTAATTGGAGTGGCCTTTTCACATCCATCACAAGTTTATTAACAAACAGGAGGAGTTCGACTAAACTTCAAAGATGTAATTTGCAGAATCTTGAATTACGCCTATTTACTAAAAGTAAGAAGTTTTTCTTTAATGAGCTTCATGACCATTTGAAATACTACTAAATATTATATTTAGAAAAAATCCATATATTAGGAGTTTTTTTCCGGTTTTTTCTAATTATCTGATTTTTGTTCTAGTTTTTAATTTTTTTTAGAACTTGTTCAATAACTTGTCATAATTTTAAAATCATCTGGTACAAGGTGACCGTTTATGGGTTATTTTAAAATTTTTTGTATATTGTATATTTTGTATTGTTCTCTGAACATCTGTTACAGGGTGACCGATTATGGTAAAGTTTTAAATTTTTTTTGTAGATTTCCAATCAGAAATTTAAAAATATATATTCTTGGTAGGTGGCGCTCATATAATTGATCAATTTCGTTATCTGGCGGTGGAGTTAACCCGTTCGATACGGGGAGGTCAAATAAATTTTCCGAAAATAAGCAAAAATATTTTTAGTGAATTATATGCTATATATATTTGATTACCAAAAGTTCACTTGTATTACAACCAGTGCTGGGGAGCATATAGATACTTGTACCTACTTATACCCATATTCATATCTTGGTTAAATGGTGTAGTACATTTTGGCCAAAATAATTGGTGTACTTAAATAGATAAAAATATCGAAGTTCAATCATGCCTGCACCCTTTCCACATATCTGGTTTGAAACTCGGAAAAATGGTATATTTAAAAACAGTATAAAGGGTATATTTTTTGGAGCCATATGGTATATTTTTTAGGCCGCGGTCACACTGACCCCACAGTTTGTTGTTGGTAAAAAAAAAAAGGTAAAGCGGGCGGACGTGCGTGGAACTGAATTTAATTTTCCGTACCGTGTCTCAATTTTCGCTGCTGTGTGCGTGTATATCTAGTTGTTTTTCTTTTTTTTTTGCATTGAATTTACCTGAACATTTTTCTCTGCTGCTGATTTGCCTACAATTACATACATATTTCCGCAATTGTGCGAGTGTGTGCGAGAAGAGTTCGTGTTTTTTTTTTGTGACCGTTTTTCCGTGTGTCTGTTTCTTTTTTTGCTCCGTTTGCAAACAAAGGATTTGTTCTCGGGGGTCCATACATTGTTAGTTTTTCGCTTTTTCCACCGTTTTCGCTCAAATATTGATAAATGATAAAGGGCCAGACTGCCTCTGTATGTGTGTGTGCGGGTGTCGAGTGTGCCAGTGTGTGTGTGTATGCAATGCTGAAAACGCAGACGGAAGAGTGGGGAAAGGAAAGGAGAGGAGAAGGAGAAAAGAAGAGCAAAAAAATTGGATCAGTTTTCGATTTACGATTTCCGATTGTCCCCATACTTGACATTTTCCTCTTTGTCATGATTTTTTGGGTCTTTTTTCTGTGTAAAAATTTCCTTGTGTAAGCACACACGAAAATAACAAACGCAGCAGAAAACGAGAGAAGAGAACAAACAGAAGAAGTAGAGGAAGAAAGAAAGGGGGGTTAGGAGATAAACGCAAAATTAGTTGTTTTATTTCGCCGATTTCCAATCGGTTTTTCGATTAATTTCGATCGTTGCGTAGACTGTTTGCACAAGTGTGCGTGTCAAGTTTTGATTGCTGTGCATGTGTGTGCGTGAGCCATTTGTTGTTTTTGTTTTCGCTAGCTAGCAACAACAACAACAAAAGTAATAATAATAATAATAGAAAAGTTAACAACAAGCCAAGTGAAACACGTGTTTTAAACTCGATTTACAGCCAAAACCCACAGGGCAAGCCGCAAACGCATAAAGAAAACTGAACTTAAAAAGAAAAGCAAGAAAAACGGTATTAAGTCGGGAAAGTCAAAGTGCAAAAAAAAACACTGAGAAAGTGCAATTGATAATTTATTCGGACTAACAACTTAAACAAATATTTAATCGAATCAAAACTTTTGGACAACATTAACTTCAGCTGTTTTATAAAAAAAACTAAATAAATTCAATTTTTTGTATTCTGCGAAGAGAGTTTCGAGAGAATGAAAAAAAACCTACTTCTCTTTACTTTTCACAGTTATTAGTAGGGAGATTCTTTAAACTGATGAACTATATAGAAATTTATTACGAAATACTAAGAACAGGTTAGAAAGCGGACCCGCCGCAGGAAAACAAAAAAGAACAACAACAACCGGGCGACTCAAAATAAGTCGCCTTTTCAATCTACCTCCGAGCATAAACAAAATCATCATTCTAAAAAGCACAATAAATAAATGAGTAAACAACAAAACATAGAAGAAATCACAAATCAACAATAAATAACAAAACGGAACCACAACATCGAGCGGCTGGAAAAATAGCGCCATCTAGCGTCGGCGAGTAAAAGCAGCAGCTGACAGACAGTTGCCTTTTTTGCCCGTCACAAGATGGCGTGCCTTAACACCCTGAAGCAGGAAATCAAAACTCTGGAGAAGATCTTCCCGAAGAATCACGAGCGCTTTCAGATCCTTAATTCCAGTGTCGATGAGCTGCTCTGCCGGTTTATCGACAAGAATGGAAAGCGCTACGACATCCATGCCAACATAACGGTAAGTCTTATGATTTTTCACAAATATGCACTGCGAATACATAGGGTACAAAATCACTTTTCACAAACAGTATTTGTACATATTGTATTTTTTCTTATAGCTTCACTGTTCAAGTTAAAAAAATGCAAATTTGTAATGAATTTCTAACAAGTTTTCCCATGAAACTGACCTTCCTGACAATCTTTAAATTAAATTTCGCATTCACCGCCCCTAAGTGCATAAGAATAAGAAATTTAATAAAGGATGCAAAAACTATGTCATAAAAGTCACCACGATACTTGTCTTATCGTCCAATACACCACTTCTTTCTTCGTTATCGATATGGGGTGGAGTATTGCTATTATGGCGCCGTGTTTACAAAAGATTTCAGGCTGGGAGCTAAATTTACTGTTTAGAACTGCATTTTTTATTGTCCGCTTTTGTCCTCTTTACGTTTTCACTTCATATGTTCAAAGCTAAGATAACTATATTTAAACGGCGATAAATACTTTTTATATACTTATGTATAGCAGGTGTTTCGCCTGTAATACGAAGGTTAATGGTTCGAGTTCTGCTTATTATTTATATTTGGCTCTCGCTATTAAAATTAAAATTATAATAGAATAGATGTTCTAAAACTTATTCTATTCAAGACACATCCTAGGCATAAATCCGTACAGGCAATTTGTTTATTGGTTGGATGTTTTTTCTATATACCAAATAAAGTTTTCGATAATCACTCAGATTACTTTAATTTCGAGGTAATCTTTTTTACCATCTTTATTTTTTCCTTGCCCCAAGCAATTTTATCTCCATGAATTTCTTCTTTCTTCCTTGAAATAGTGCTATCCTTGTCTGGTTTCCGACTCTACTTCTTTCTTTAATCTTACTTTTTCTTTTCTCGCTCTCTCTATCTCTCTCTTTCCCGCATATGCGTATTTATATATGTGAATATTTGTGCCGATTCTTTATTCCCACGCTGCTCAGTTGAGATGAGATATACGTATATGTATTGTAGTCTGTGTGATCTTCCTTTTGTTTTGACCACCATAGCTGATTTAGGATATAGTCTTAAAAAGTTTCTTCCTGATATTACAAGAAAACAAAAAAAACCTTGATTTATTTCAATTTGAATTCTGAAGATTGAGATCCGAAATTTGGCCAAATTGATCCTATGCCCGTGCAATATAAAGAAATACCCTCGTTGAGGTGTGATTCATTGCACCCGACCATCGGTTGCCAAGCTGCTCCATCTGTTTTCTGCTTTCTGTTCTCTGTGCACTGATCCCCGCTTGGTTCAACGATCTAATTAAAGGTTATAATTTCGTACTTGCTGGCGGGTTCGGTTCTCTGTCGTTTATTATTTGTTTATTTACATGTGCATGCAAAGTACTCCAACGACGTCGACAAATTCACCTGAGAACGTCAAAAAACGAGAACGAGAATGGAAATAAGAGAGATCTTTTGTCTGTGTCCAATTCTCGAGTACAAAGTATAAGTCCTTGACCCACCCCACACACGCGATTTGCAAGGCCCACCCCCTTTGGCTATAAACACAGTAGATTCCCGTTATAACCTGCGTTTCTATATGGTATTTCCATAAAGTCAGCTTATCAGTTTGCATTTAATTGAAATCGGAATGGGCAACATGTCTAATAGTCTTTGGCAATATTTTCCCTTATCTAAAGTGTCGATAACGAAATCTTTAGCTAACTATGTATGTTTAAAAAATACTGTGTTTACAAACCAGCTAAATATTATATTTCTGGATCTTCTCTCCTGCAGGAAACGTATCCCTCGTCGCCGCCAGTTTGGTTCGCCGAAAGTGAGGAGACAAGCGTCACAAATGCTGTTCAAATACTTAGCAATACAAATGGACGTGATAATCACGTGATTAATCAGGTGGGACATTCAAACATAAGATTCCGAAGAGTAAAAACTAAATCCAATTCTTTTCCAGGTGGGCATTCTGCTGCGTGAGCTGTGCCGACTACACAACGTTCCACTGCCACCTGACATCGATAATTTGGCCCTGCCGCTGCAAACGCCGCCGCCATCCGCTTCTCCACTCCGCTGCGACCAGAGACCAGGAGGCGGTGGAGCGGGGGGCGGTGGAGGACCGCACGGCAACGAGGAGACCGACTCGGATCAGGAAGAGATCGAGGATCCCATCGGCGAGAGCGAACAGGAGAGCGAGGGAGACGAGGACTTGCCGCTGGAAATGGATGATGTACGAAGTACAAACAAGGTGAGCTACAGCCGTGAGACAGAGCGATTTATATTGTTTTAATATATAATAATACAAACCCCCCAATGATGCACACTGTTTGCCTAATCTGCTACCTTTAAGGTGGCAATTACTTTCAAAGTACTGTTCTGCCAGCAATTTGCTTTTAAATCGACCAAATAATTATATTTGTTGCAATCAAATTTCCTACTTGACCGCAATTACTTTTGAATTTGTTTGGAATTTGTTCTTGGACAATTGACTTTAAATCGAATTGAGTATAATTCAAGAAGTTCTTCCACAATTGTTTAGTATATGACCATACCAAATCGATAAAAATAATGCAACAATTTTATGAATTATTATTAATTATGTGTAATGCTATCTGTGAAATACAGAAGGACGACATGGAAGTGGAACACCTAGCAACTTTAGAAAGACTGCGTCAAAGTCAAAGACAAGACTATCTAAAAGTGAGTTCAATGATACTTAGTAACAAAAACGTGACATATTGAGTGTTTTCTTGATTTTAGGGTTCTGTTTCGGGTTCCGTGCAGGCTACCGATCGCTTAATGAAGGAACTACGTGATATTTATCGATCGGACGCCTTCAAGAAGAACATGTATTCAATTGAGCTTGTCAACGAGTCGATTTACGAGTGGAACATACGCCTCAAGTCTGTCGACCCGGACAGTCCGCTGCACAGTGATCTGTTAATGCTCAAGGAGAAGGAGGGCAAAGACAGCATACTGCTCAACATCCTTTTTAAGGAGACGTATCCCTTCGAGCCGCCCTTCGTGCGCGTCGTCCATCCGATTATCTCAGGTGCGATTAGCTCACTTGAGAGTAAATGCAGGGCTAAGACTTGAATGTTTGCTTCATTTATTAGGCGGCTATGTGCTCATCGGCGGTGCCATCTGCATGGAATTGCTGACAAAACAGGGCTGGAGCTCGGCCTACACTGTGGAGGCGGTTATCATGCAAATAGCAGCCACCCTCGTCAAGGGAAAGGCGCGCATCCAGTTCGGGGCCACCAAGGTATGTGAAATTCAAACAAACAAAGCTTAGAGAGCCAAAAACCTACTTAAAACCATTGTCCATAAACAGGCACTGACCCAGGGCCAGTACAGTTTGGCACGAGCCCAGCAGAGCTTCAAGTCGCTGGTGCAGATACACGAAAAGAATGGTATGCTCCCACTAAAATAAGCCATAAAGTGGATTCCATATTAATGAGCATCTTTTTTGCAGGCTGGTTTACACCACCCAAGGAGGATGGCTAAGGCAGAAGAGTCCCCAGACGCACATCCTTTCTAGAATAACGCAAGCCACAACCAACACAGACCCATCTGAACACCCACTCACCGTCAGCATTACCTTATCCATATCCGCCAAGCACACATCCCGCTCTCACTGCCGGTTTGATCTGATATATCTGATATCTGACCTGATCCGGCCTGGTCAGCACCATTATGGACGGAGCCCCCGAATTCAAGTGGAAGGCCCACATTGTTTGCACGCGGTTTGCATCGTTGATGAAAGTTGGATGAAGCGTCCATCATGCGCATATGTTTAATTGCACTCGTAAACCAAAAACCGACTCGTTAAACACACTTTTATATTCACGGTTTACTGTTTCGTTGCAAGAAATTCATATGTATATGCCCCATTCGGGTTCTTCTTTGTAGTGTGTAGTCTTTTAACCACATCCCCCGGCCTGAAATTGTGTATCTTGTACAGTGTCTTGGGAGCTGATTATTGTGGTGCAAAATAAGCATAGAAATCAGCACCCGAAAGTGTAAAATGTAAAGGCAATACCTGTTATGTATATGAATATAATTTGTAATTTAAAAATGTAAATGTAGTGGCTTCAAAACCTTCCAAACAATACCCACAACCCCCACACACACTCCACACACACACACACACACACCCATACACACGCCTATATTGTAAAACTAGTTAAGACGCCTAATTGTATTCTTATTTTAATTTTACAAATCCGTGGTATCTTATATTTTTTCTCTTTACTGGTAAGCAAACAACAAAAGAATCGGAAAGTTGGCAAGAGAGTTGACGCGATGTCGAGCGGAATAGATATATATATATACCTATACATACATATAAATATAAATATACTTAAATATAAAGATATATATTAAAACTAGCGCGAGAGTTTAGCTTAAGCAGAATAAAACAGATCGATGCGTCGAAGATGAGCAAATTCTAAGTGTAAATTCGTCTTTCCAAATAATCGTAAAATAACGTAAATCTAAATCTACACAACAAAAAAAAAATTAAAAAGAAAAGAGCTAAACTATAAAGCTAAATCGAAAAGTTGGAGAACGAAAACCGAAAAATATTAGCAAGTGTAATATGCATTAAAATAAAAACAAAAAGAAACCTACAAGACGAGTTAAGGGCAACAGTTTTGGTGTCCCCATTATCATTGTTTTTTTTTAATATTCGTACAACGGCAGACAAAATTTCAATGTACATTTCAAAACAGAAATTGGCAAGCAAGACGAAATGTTCATTTTAAGTATGTATTTAATAAAGAAGGATATATACATGCATAATACGGGTCTGAAAGACATTTATTCTGGTTCAGGGGCTCTCTTGAAGGATTGGCGAACTATTTTCTGGTGGTAGGTATTTCAGGGACTAGAGAACATAAATTCCGGTTTTTTAAAACCCAATAATATAAAACGTCTTTTTTGCATTTTCTAGTAAAAATACGTTTTTATTAAATTCTAAAAAAAAATATAAACAGCTTCGGAAATATAAACTATGATATTACTAACTAATGCTAGACTTTTTGCGCAGATCGTTCAATGGCGAAGGTCAGGGTCACTCCACCAGGACCACGTACTTTTCCGCTGCCTGGGATGGCAGCATCTTGGGTGCCTTGGTCTCCACGTATGTGGGTTTGTGAACCACCTCGCCACTGTCCATCGAAACTCCAATGAGCATGTCCATGGTACCCTTTAACCGCATCAGCTCAGTGGTTAGCTTCACCTCCTCCTGGAAAGCGGCGGACAACCGTTCCAGGGCATCCATCAGCTTCTGGCTGCAGGCCACCAGTTGCCGCTCGAAGATGTCCAAGACCGTGCTGGCGGCCATCATCAGCGGACGCATGAAGCGCGTCTCTCCCAAATGAGCGCACACGAAGTCGATGAACTTAACAAGCACTTCATCGGGTCGATCAATGAGGGTTTTTTCCAGACGTCTGCGATGTAACAGGTCATTAATGACCGCCACCACCAGCTCCGGATGCAGCTCACTCTTCTTCGACCCCATCACATCTGCGAGGGCCTTCTTGTGGTTATACTGACGCAGATGCACATCGAAGGTTTTGAGCCCCGGTCCCTTGACCCTATCCTTGATGTTGTGATCCACCTGCTGGGTGTTGTTTGGAGGCATTGGCTCTTTGCGGTGCTTGCGGGCCCGATCCGCGCGAATCTTTTTTAAATGACTGGGCTTACTGTCCACTATCATGCGCCGAATGGAGATCAGCCCGTCGACCATCCCGGCCACAACAGCCTGATCGCCGCTAGCCACAGCCATGCTGACCACCGCATTGGGGTATGTCAACGTGTGGACCGTCTTGTAAGTGCTCACATCGTAGATCTTGACGTGCCGGTCCAGTCCGCCGGAGAACAACCTCCTGCCATCGGAGCCCAGCCGCAGACAGGTGACTGTCTTGTGATGCTGCGACATCATGGTGAGCAGTCGGCAACCGCCGACTAAATCCCAAACACGCACCTGGTTGCCTCCGGCGCTGACGAATACGGAGCCATTGGGCAGGAACAGCATGGACTCTACTGGAGCTCCGTGATCCAAAGTGTGCTGCACCACCGTCTCCGCTCGCGTATCATACAATTTGATCTTGCCATCGTAGCCGCCGGAGACGAACATGTGCCCCGCTTGCGGATGCATAGCTCCGGCACGAATGTAGTCCGTGTGGTGGTCCGCGTAGGTCTGCACCACCTTCTCGTTGGCCACGTCCCACAGACGGACCGCCTTGTCATCGCCAAAACTGGCCAGCTGCAACTTGTCCGCCGTGAAGAAGGTTCGATGCACCGGCGCCGTGTGTCCCTTGAACAGACGCAGGATGTTTCGGCTGGTGGTGTCGAACAGCTTGACGTGGCCCTCCTCGTCGCCGGCGGCCAGGAGCCTTCCATCCTGCCGGAATGTGGCTCCGTAGGCGGTCTTCTGGAATCGCGAGAGATTCTTGACCACCAACTTGGTCACAAGATTGTAGATCTGCACGCGCACCGAGCAGGTCAGCACAAAATTATCTGGATCACTGGGGCTGAAGTCCACATAGTCGATGGTGTTGCGCTCCTTGAGGTGCTCCGGTTTCTAAGAATTGAAAAGGGGATCAGTGGTCATGCAGCCGATTTGCTAATCTTCTAAAACTTACCGCCAATCGATTCCAGTAGACCGTGTCCGGGGTCTCCACCTGCGCCCGCTGCTGAAATCGGCGTGTGTTCAGTGGGAGAAAGTTGTTTTGCATCTTGGTTGTGATTCCGGTTCTCCTAGTGATTTCAATAGATCCTTTTTCGCGCGCACGTGTTAGACCAAAAAACCGTGCTTAACAACTAACTCGGAATTAGTGTGACCAACCGAGTCCAGTGTGCTGGCAGTCTGGCCGATTTTAAGCTAAATCTGGCGGAGGACTTAATACATAGAAGCATGGGTAACAAAAATTTAGAAAAACAATTATAATTTTGTTGAAATTACTACTAAAAATTATGCAAACCGTCTCCGCTAACGACACCCGACGGACATAAGGTATTTTAGACGTGATAGACACGACGCGACTTCTATAACCACACCACCTGGTAACTACCTACGATTAGCTATGACCAAATTTGAATTGCCCAAGAATGTGGCACACACTACCCTTTTTTTTTTGAATCTTCAAAATACAACTTATAATACACGAATTAGCAAAATACGGTTTTAATATAAACACAAGTGGGGCGACCTGCAACGTTATTTAGCTCTTTTCTTTTTACAGCTTTTTACCCTGCTCTATGGCAAACCTCTTATCGATAGACCCAGCAGGTGTATGCGTTATCGTTATCGGCGCTGGTGCACTGGCAAACACATGTTTGCAACAACAACAAACCAAAAAAAATAGAAACAAACCAGCAACAAAACAACATATGCCCGCTGTCCTCATAAAAATAGAAAAACATTTCCGAGTTTGCGATCCGCGCTTGGGTTTCGGGAGAACCAGATCCAGAGTGACAGCCCCTCGCGCTGGGCACTAAAATAATAATAATAATAGATGCTAGATCTCGTGTCCCGGCTTTAATTGAAATTTATTTGTTGTGATGCGGCCGCCACTGGGGGTTCCATAGACGTACAGCCAGGGTCCAAGCCTCCTCCATCTTCCGCCGCCTCCTCCGCCCAAATCTTAATTAACCGGAGGCATTGAGCATGTTTGCATTAATTGGAGACAATCAATGTGCCTGAGACCCTCGAATCGAACGGAACGGAACGGAAGCGAGATCCCCGAGGAAGCACCATCCAAACCGGAATACCACATTCGGTCCCACTTCCATGGAGATGGAGGAGGAACTCAACGAGAAGAAGGTGCTCTGCGAGAAGATCATCACGGACATCAACGCGGTGTTCCTCAAGGATCAGGATCTGTGAGTCTACATTCAGACACTAAAATTGAGCTACAGTATTTATCCATCTTTGAACTGACGTTCACACCATATAGAAACAGTGATTCATAGGTTCATAAAATGAGCAAGAACTATTAAAAATGATTAAGCTCAGATCAACTTATAAGATCATGGCCAAAATGTATTGACTATACTCGGTCAGAGCTCTACTTCAAACCGTTTCTAATCTCTGAATATGTGCTTCTTATTCCCACCAGCGCCTCATTCGAGATTATACCCAAGGAAACGAACTGCAACAAGTCGCCGGTGGTGCATGTGGAGCACAATCTGGGCCTGGAATCGTGGTGTGCCCAGCATGTCTATGACCACGCCCACCGCACCCTCATCTCCCATCGCCGCCAATCGTCGGCCCAGCAGCTCCGAACACTCCAGCAGCAGCAGCAGAGCGACTCTCTGGCCAAGTACCTGAACGTGGCCTTGCTGATCAATCCAGATGTGACCACCTTCTGGCACATTCGCCGCCAGCTGGTGCAAAAGAACCGATTGAGCATCAACAAAGAGCTGCAGTTCTCCGCCCTCGTGCTCTCTATCAAACCGAAGTCCAATGAGGCATTCGCCTATCGCCGCTGGCTGTACTCGTTCCAAAGTGAGTGGCTCGCGGGGGTTGCAGATTACAGGCTTTACATTTCCTTATTTCTTGCCTAGGTGCCGATGCCATCGACTGGCCCAACGAGATTGGGATCTGCGAGAGGGCCGCCGATAGATGCGCGAGTAATTACCATGCCTGGTCGCACCGCCAATGGATTCTGCAGAGCGGACCCTGCCTGATCCAATCGGAGCTGCTGCGCACGGAAAAGTTCATGCGCAAGCACATTAGCGACTACAGCTGCTACCATTACCGCCAGGTCCTTCTGGGGCGCGCCTACGAGCTAAACTTTGCCCTGTTCAACGATTCCGGAGCCGGTGGCTCCTTGCCGTTGGCCAGTCTGCAGTTGTTGATGGCCAACTATGGCCTCAAATGCGAACCAAAGGCGGAGGATCTTCTGCAGCTGCTGCTGCCTCATGTGGACCTGAGTTCCATTAGCAGCCAGAGGCTGAGATCATTCCTCTACTGCTGCAATGTGGCCGCCAATGATATGCGGCTGTGTGCGGAGCAGCGGTTAATGTACGGACTGCGGGATTGCTTCGACCTGCATCGCCGCGCGGCCCTCAAGTTCATCGTGGAGCAGTGCGTCCGCCTGCAGATGGGTTTGGCCAGCGGTCAACCGCTTGCCTCGGAGGCAGAGGATCTGCGTTCGCATTTGAGCACCTTTGACTTTGACAAGCATCCCTTTTTGGATGCCGTGCGGCGCACGGAGTCCTCCCTAGGCGGCAAGCACCGGCGCTGGTGCAATCTCCACCTGAGTTTTGGCTATCCAGCGGATTAGACAGCGGGACCTGAAACCTGAAATCTTGAGAAAAGCTCAAATCAATCTACCCCAATAGAATAACTTACTCTGTTTCCGTTTTCCATTCGTTTAAATTCTAGCAAATGCATTTCGTAAACATTTAAATTTGCTGGGTAACTTACTTTAAATTTGAATAATTTTAGCTTGAAAAAAGAAATATTATTTGAAAACCAGGATTTGTTGCAACAATAATCGTTGATTTAATACTTCTGAAGCTATTAGTGTGCTACTTTTAAAAAAATTCCCTTAAAGAACGGCTATGCACCAAAATATAAAAATTATTTAATAATCACGAATTTTAAACGGATTGGAAACGGAATACGGAATATATATATATATATACTCTACATGAACACCCCAAAGACAAAGTTAAACTAGCCCGATATGACCCAACCGGTCAACCAATTGCATTTCGATATATGTTAGCGTTAACTGTTCAATTTTATTCTCGATCTGCTCTGGCATAATTTGTTAGTAGTATGCTCAGATGTACGAATTAACCAATTATCGCCATGCCATGCACGCGTTTGTTGTTAGCCAATTTGCATTAGTTTTTAAATAAATCCAACCAATAGTCGACGGATGTGGCCGGCCGTTCATTGGGTGGGTCAGTATTTGTTATCCCCAGCACAGCGAGAAATCGGCGATTATGCGTTATTGCTTGGGCTTTCCTTGCCATCGTTCTGAATAGGCTATGATCTTACCTCATACCAAAAACTAAGAAGGTTTTAAAAAAAATATATAAATAAATTATAAACATTTGATATACATATTTTGAGATATGAAATAATATTACAATGATGACCAAATAGTTTCGAGAACTAAATCTAGTCGAACTGCCCTCTCCGTTGGAAGGTATCGATTTGTTAATAGCAAAAATTACGATTTAATATTCCTCTTATTGGGGATTGAGGCTAGTTTTTGCGAAGATATAATATTAATACAAACGGTTTGTCGAAATGTTATTAATCAAATTCAAAGGGAAGTGCATTATCAGTTCGAGAATATCATTTCACCAATATCGTCCGCAATTAATCCGTTTTAAATGCATAATACAGAGACTGTTTTACCGAAAATATATCATCGGATGACTTCGCTTTTGTGGCGGTGCAGCCACAGCCACAACCACCCCCTCCCAGAATCGACTGGGGCTTTCGAAGGCTAGTGCGCATGTCTGGCGTCGAGATGCGAGATGCTGTCGAAGGCCCGAGATGACAACAATTTCAGCAGCGGACTCAGAATCGCCAGCCCGTAATCCCTGCCAGCTTTTCAGTGTGTTTCTGGAGCAGTTCGCGAGCGGCGGTGTTTTAGTGCAGTGTGTTGAGTGGCTTAAAGTGCTGGCTTGTTTAGAGGCTTAAAAACAATTTTCGACCTGAAAGAAGTGCATATAGGTATAGGTTCTCCGAAAACTTTAAAGTAATTAATGGTTGTTTTTTTTTATAAATTAAGGTTGGGAATATTTCCTTAATGCTTCTATAGAGAGCAGTGTGGATGTGTGTGTGTTTTTTTTTGTGCCTGCCTTTGTTTGGTTTTGTTAAAATATTCATATTCGTTTTTCATCGGGCCCCTTTGCATTTGTTATCCATCCCTCCCTACTTTTTTTTTCACCCCCAGGGGCGTGGGCCCAAAACTGCGCCTCAATTGGAGTTTTTTTGTGTGGGAGGTGGGGTTGTTTAGGGTGTTTAGGGTAATAGTGGCAAGTCTGTTTATGAGTTGATTATGAGCTGCAAAATGGTGTGCCATTGTTTTCGGGCCCCGCCTACTCTAAGGACCTCCCGATCTCGTCCCGTCCTGGGATATATACTCCGGATTCCGGAATACCTGACCCTGGGGTGCCTGCGAATGTGTAGATAACTCAAAATGGACACACCTGATGATTTTGTGCCAGTGTGCGTCGTATGTGTGCGAAATTCTTTTGGCCATGGGGACTACACTCGCAGTCGTAATAATAGCTGCTTTTGTTAATTGGCATAAGCGGATTAGGCACAAGATAAACTGGGTCACCTGGCTGACCACTGCCAAGATCTTTTCCTAGAATTTAAGAGTGTATGTAGTTTACATGTCCTAATTGGTCATTTGAAACTTGGTAAGCGATTTCCATGGAATTTCAGATTCAAAAGCTTAGCAAGCTGAGTGGAAGGACGCATTACGACGTTTGTAAAGAATTGCATTTGGATGATCATAAAGAGGAGTGCAAAGTTCCATTAAGATCTGTTTCTTGGAAGTTTTAATGTTTTGCTAATAAGAGTATGTACGTCAAGATTTAAATGAAGTAATGAGAATCAAATCAAAGAAGGCTTAGCTCTTTAAATAACAATTTAATTTCTTTTTAAATGAATTAACCTATTATTTTTGCCCGTAATGCATTGTAACCATACCCATGCATACATATGTAGCCATGAATGTCGTGAGTAACGGCAAGGAAATGTATGTAGCCCCATGGCCCACATAAGTATGCAATGCATGTGCGCCCAGCGGATGTGTGCGAGTGTGTGTGCCACAAGGATGCCTGTCTGTGTGTGTGTGTGTGAGTGTATGGTTGACAGTTTCCAGGTGCAGGTGACAACTCAATAAGCAACCGATAGATGGCGATAGCATTCGATACCCCATGACTTTTTCATTTCCTTTCTCCATTCCACAGGCATTCCGCTGCATCGGGACTATATTTGCATTACCATATACATTTTTGTACGCGGATTGGGGGGCGTGGCATGTCGACGGTGGACAATGAACCCGCCCACACAGCAAGGACAATAACTTGAGACTGGATTGGACCGGACTGGCATGCCAGTCAGCAGGAGGGGCAGCATGAGTTCGCCTTTTTGGAGCGATGCCAGATATGGAATCGCAGCGGCCCTAAAATCCACATAACTCCACTGCGATAAGTTTCGATAAGTTGGCAATAATCGGGCGAAATGGGCAGTTTGCCGAATCTTCACGAGCTGGAGGAGGCGGAGCGCAAGCGGGAGAAGCGGCGCGAGTACGAACTTTTGCTGGAGCAGCGGGCCCGGGACACAAGTCGCGAGCGGGAGCGACTCTCCGCTTTTGCCCAGCAGCGCAAGGTGAGTAGCGATCGTTCACATTTGGTTATCGATAACATAACTGGCGATTTAACCGATAAGGCCGTTAGCATTAAAGGAAATACCAAGCTCTTGGCATTGTACCTATATATTTGTTAATTCCCAGCAGCAATCCTCGTATAATGCCTATATAATGGCTGGTCTGGGGATTGGCGGAGGCTCCTTGAGTCTCAATGCCGCCGGAGGAACAGGAACAGCGGCTACCGGAAACGGAGAGCTGCCCAGTGGCAATGGAACTACTGCTGGGAAGTCGCAGAACCAGGCGGCGGGCACAGGATCTGGATTGGCCACCAGTTCGGGTGCCCCGGTGGCCACCACCGGTGGCTTTGCGATGCTGGGAATGAGCAAGAAGTACGCACCACACTCGCATCACCATCAGCATCAGCATCACCACCAGCACCGCCATTCGCTGACCACCAGGCACCGTGTGCTCCGGACCCGCAGCTCTGGAGGAGCGCATAACGTCTGGGACGAGCAGATGATGGAGGTGAGTGGTTGCATAGATCATACTTTTTCATATCCTATTTAAATACAGTGGCTCACAGCTTATTTGACCCACACCTAATTTTCAACATTAAACAGGTATAACTCCTGAACCATAAGAGATACCCATAAAAATAAAACGCAGAAAGGTTAACTGTTGTTTTAACTTCAAAAATATGTTTTTATTTATTTATTCTTGCAAGGAACTTCTTAATTAAACAATAAAAACTAAAAATACTGCCTTTTTCAATGTCACAGCTTATTTGACCCAGTTCATCACATTAATTATAAAAAATTTCAAAAAAAATATTTTTTTAACTTTCAGTTTTTGGTATGTCCGCCCTTTTGGTCCACAACCGACTTCAGTCGATTGGGAATAGATCCGACCAATTTTTTTGTGGTTACTGGGGTGATTTTAGCCCATTCTTCGAGCAAAGCCGTCTTCAAGTCATTTTTATTGGAAATATTGCGCTCCCGAATTTTTGAGTCCCGCAAAGCCCACAAATTCTCAATAACATTAAAATCGGGTGACTGACCTGGCGATTTCATTATATGGTGACAATTATAACCCAGCCAATATTGAACTATAACCGACTTTTGCTTTGGGTCATTGTCTTGGTAGAACCGAAAACCCGGTTTTATTCCCAATTTCTCAGCACTTTGGAGTAAATTATCCTTAAGGATATTAAGATAAACATTTTTATTCATTATGCTTTCAATAAATTTTAGGTTTCCGACTCTTGCTGCGGACTTACAGGCCCAAACCATAACGTGTCCGCCGTCATGCCTAACGGTGGGTTTTAGATGTTTGTCCAGCAGCTCTGTATTGGCTTTACGCCATACGTAAGAACATAATTTGGACCCAAAAATATTACGTCATTTTCGCTGATGAGTCAAAATTTAATATTTTTGATCCGATGGACGTTCTTAGCTATGGCGTAAAGCCAATACAAAGCTGCAGGACAAACATCTAAAACCCACCGTTAGGCATGACGGCGGACACGTTATGGTTTGGGCCTGTAAGTCCGCAGCAAGAGTCGGAAACCTAAAATTTATTGAAAGCATAATGAATAAAAATGTTTATCTTAATATCCTTAAGGATAATTTACTCCAAAGTGCTGAGAAATTGGGAATAAAACCGGGTTTTCGGTTCTACCAAGACAATGACCCAAAGCAAAAGTCGGTTATAGTTCAATATTGGCTGGGTTATAATTGTCACCATATAATGAAATCGCCAGGTCAGTCACCCGATTTTAATGTTATTGAGAATTTGTGGGCTTTGCGGGACTCAAAAATTCGGGAGCGCAATATTTCCAATAAAAATGACTTGAAGACGGCTTTGCTCGAAGAATGGGCTAAAATCACCCCAGTAACCACAAAAAAATTGGTCGGATCTATTCCCAATCGACTGAAGTCGGTTGTGGACCAAAAGGGCGGACATACCAAAAACTGAAAGTTAAAAAAATATTTTTTTTGAAATTTTTTATAATTAATTTGATGAACTGGGTCAAATAAGCTGTGACATTGAAAAAGGCAGTATTTTTAGTTTTTATTGTTTAATTAAGAAGTTCCTTGCTAGAATAAATAAATGAAAACATATTTTTGAAGTTAAAACAACAGTTAACCTTTCTGAGTTTTATTTTTATGTGTATCTCTTATGGTTCAGGAGTTATACTTGTTTAATGTTGAAAACTAGGTGTGGGTCAAATAAGCTGTGAGCCACTGTAGGTGGTATAGGTATATTACAATATACATAAAAAGGAAGTGTGTTGCTAAATATCAGATTGCTAAATTTTATTTCTATGAAAAGCTATCAAGTTAATCATCATATAATATCATATCCATTTTTTTCTGTGTGGTGGGCAAAGGCACTTGTCACTTATTATTAATAGAATCAGAGTGCAGCGCGAGGTAATGGACATTGAGGTTGAGCTCTCTGTTGCCTTGGACACTTGACCATCCTGGGGCTCAATGTCGACCGAAGAGGTGGTCGGTGGTGGATTTGGGGGGCAGATGTCAGAACGTGCAAATGGATTATATCTTCCAGTTGCACAACAAGTAATTAAGTCGAACCTGGCCAGGCATATCTATTCTCCTTTCCCCATTTACCATTCCCCATTCCCATCCTACCACTCAATTGTAATTGAAGACCAAGGTTGCTGGCTGCAACGCCATTAGCCTGCTTTAATCCTTGAACCGCTGTTAATTCCTGGAAGACTTTCATGTCATAAGGTGATGGAGATTCCTGGAAGATGCTCCTCATTTGAAAGGTTTAAATATAGACCGGAAGATGTAAGTAAGAACCAAATTCGTAGCAACACCCATCATTGCTTTTCATGCATCAGGCCTTTGTTAATTCTTGATAATTCCTGGAGATGCAACTTCTTGGAGACTAGAGTTCTGACTTATTCAAGCCCGAGCCCGTTAGTAATCCCCGCTTTTGTTCTATATTTTCCAGCAGCACCTGACCACATACTCGCCGTCGCCCATTTCGACCCGTTCACATCGGATAAATCCCGTTTCCTCGTACCAGGTGCAGGCTGCTCTGGCGGCCTCGCGTCGCCGGGAGTCCATAAACAGCTCCATTGGGGCCACCTCCATCCGGCGCTTGATAACGCTCAATAACCGGAATTGCCGGCACAAGGTGCCCGCCCAAGTGCGTCAGAAAGTGTGGCGCCAGTTCAGCTGCTTGAGCCTGGCCCACGGATTGATGAACTGCGTCCTGCTCCCGGTGATGGCACTGCAGGGCTCGAATGCGGTGTGGCACCATCGGGAGCAGTGGCTGCCCCTCGGACCGGAGATTGGATCCCTGCTGCTGAGCGCTCTGTTCCTGGTGGCCGCCGGGATGAGCCTGCCCAGCATCCGACTGATGAAACGATATGGCTATGGGTACCTTTTGGTGGCCAACTATTTGGCGGTGGTGCTTTTCCTCCTGTCGCATCTGTACGCCTCCATTTACACCCTTCTGCCGGCCTATTTGCTGCTCGGCGTGACCTTGGGCGGATCTGGTGGCTCCAAGGCGGCCTTGATTGTCCACTTCGGAGGAAAGTTGAGCTGCTCCTGCGAGTCGCAGCAGTCGCATGCGGCGGTGGATGTGTTGCAGGAGGAGCACAAGATGTTCTGCAATCGGGATCAGAAGGTGCGACGCCTGGCCAGGTGGTTCAGGGTCGCCCAGGATCTGGGACTCATCGGAGGAGCCCTTCTGGCCTCCATTTTGCTGGCCTGCAGCGATGGAGACTTCACGGGAGATTGCTCGGGACTGGTTTACTATGGAAACGAGAGCTGGCCGCCGCAGCTGAGGGACTTCTACAACCGGAATGAGCATGGCGACCGGATCTGTGGGGCGGACATGTGTCCGCTGAGGGTGAAATCGCTCCTGGCAGCGGGATGGGCCAATGGCAGCTCCATACCCAGCTCGGTCTATGCTGGCTTCATCGAAAGTGAGCCCCGGGTGGCCGGGCAATCCCTTCTCTGGCTCTATGTCCTGTTCTCGCTGATCTCCTTGATGCTTTCCCTGATGATAATGGTGGACAAGGTCCAAACGACGGCCTCGTCGCGGCCGGAGCGCTTGAGGGACGTGAGCATCACGGATACGCTGCTCTTTGCCGGTCCCTTGGCCTATTTCGTGGGCACGGAACAGGCCTACATGTTGGGCGACTTCCTGCGGGCCTTCGTCACCTGCTCCTTGGGCATTGGCATGATTGCCGGCGCTCTGATTGGCATGGGTCTGATGCAGCTCATCGTCTCCTGCACTCTGAGCATGCTACTCCGGCATGTCAAGAGGATCGTCGTGATTCGTGAGTATCAGATACATTTACATTACCCCTTATCAGTTATATTGCAAATTTTTGAAGAACCAAGAGCTGAAGAAATTGTTGTCCAAATGCCACACCTAAACTTGCAATTAACTGAATTCTTTTTTTTTTTTTTAATAGCCATAATAGGTTACCAAATTCTTGTTGCTTCCTTTTTCAGTGGCTGGTTTCTTCTTCCACTCCTGCCTGCTGTTGGCCTTGTCCAGCTGGAAGCCATCGAGCGACGATAGTGCCCTGTTCTACGTGATCGCCGCCTCCTGGGGCGCCTGCAACGGGATGTGGGAGACGCTCCTGCTCTCGCTGGTCACCCTCAACCATGCCAGCCATGTGCCCGAGGTGCAGGCTCCCCTGCAGGCCCTCCGCTTCCTCGGACTGGGATTGACCTTCGCCGGACACGGCTTTCTTTGCGAGTCGCTGAAGATCATTGCCTTGGTGGTGCTCCTGGTGATCAGTGTGCCTCCGTACGCCACCCTGGAGATCCGACTGGAGGCGCAGCGCAAGGCAACGCTGGTCAGCTTATGACGCAGCATCTTCAGCTAGTCCCGACGAATGCGACGGGATGTCGTTGCCCGGACGCACACCATGTGACATGTTCCGGATACGGATGCGGGTACGGGTACGGGTACGGACACGGAACCGGATCCGCGGCCAGACCTCCTCCAATCGCAACCTGTCAGTATTGAACGAGAGACACAAGTCAAGCGACGCAAGCTACACTTCAGTATTTCCAAGTTCTGCGGTCGGAAGTCGAGGGCCATGGACAGGGATACGGTATAAGTATCTGGGAACTCCAACTGGGATTTAGGAACACCCATTTAGGAGACGATACCTGTAACTATTAAAACCCCAATCGCCTCTCGACTTCCGACCTGCGGGCCTAGAGGATAAGACTAGCTCATAAGATTGATCTATACCCATGTGCGAGGGGAACTCCCCTTCGAGATGTGTGCATTCTCAATTTGTAGCATTTGCCAGTGCCAGTAATGTTGTTCCATGTCTATAACTTATCTATCAAATAGAAAGAGCGAGAGGGGAGGAGAGCTTTATGAGCCACAATAAGCATGTAGCATGTAGAACGTTATATTTATCCGATCTGAGATGATACGATATCAATTGCTATCTACATATGTATTTTGCCACAAGGCCTTGGTCAATATGCTGCCCAAATAGGTTTTTGTGTACAAGTATTTCCTAAAGTTAACTCCTAGGCGTAGGTCTATTCAATTCGAAACTCCAATTGCCAACTCGCCAATTCGCAATTCCCCAAACCAAACCGATCCGGTCCAGAATTAATGTGTGTTATATATGTGTTTAATCGGTGTTATGTGCGTTATGTAGGTTTCGAGACCCTCCACTTTCACCCATCCACCATAGGAGCACCTATCCCGATTCAGATAATGCTAGCTGCAAACTGTTATGATAACAAGGTGAAATCCTAAGGTCTAAGGTCTAGAAAAAACAATGTTAACATTTTGAGAATTTTGAGAATAACCATTTTGTGACCGTTGACGATTTCATACATCGGGGCTACGTATTACGTTGCTAGCCATATACTATATATACTGTATACACAAAGACATACTATATATTTTTTTCTTAGCGGCGGTTCCATCTGAATATTGAATAAAGCCAATCTCGCACACGAGTTAAGTCGGGGAGACGAGAAGTCAAATGCGATGAGATCGAGTTCTACGTGTATTGGATGTGTATTGTATATTGTAGGTGTCCATCTCCAGATCCAATAAAGATTCCAAAACAAGTGTGTTGCTCGTTCGACCTGGGGTCTGTTTCTAGTGGCGCAATTAAAAGTCGTTCTCTGCTTAATTACAAACAACTGGATTCATTTGTGCGTTTTGGCGAGCTTTGCCACAAAGCTTTTTCTCTCGCCGATCGGAGCGTGAACATTGGGTATATTTTCTATGGGTATGTGTGCGGTCTTGTTAGCTTTATCAATTGGGGTACTTAGCTAACTAACTTGCTAGTTAGTGGGTATTCGAGGCCCCAGAGAGACGCGTTCGCTGGCCCCGATGGACAAAGATAAAAACAAAGATAAGGGGGATAATGATTCCGGCTCCTCATCCGCCGAATGGAGCGACAAGCTGGCGGAGCTGGTCGCCTGGTTCGAGGGCAATCCCAATCTGCCCGAGAAGATCGGTAAGTAAGCCAGGAGAATCGGGCCCAAATGTGTTTCGCTTCGATTGATAGCCAGTCAAGTGCGAGCCAGAATTAATGGGCGCGCAATAACCTGATATGGCTTACGATCCATTAACCTTGTAACTTGGCAGTGGCAAAGGTCAAGTGCATGGGTATCTCTACAGGGATATCTGTACGCTTCCTCCTTGCATTGTTATAGTTATTTATGGGGAGATAACCACTCCTTCAAGTGTCTCCATGGATTATCAAATCTTTATGATCGTTGTAAGTCGATAAAGCATCATATGTTAGTTCGACTTCTTTGTGTAGAGTATTTAAGTATCTTTTGCAATTCCTTTACTAATTTGCACGTTATATCTTCCCTGTAGAACCCATAGTGATGCTCCGATTTCTCAAGTGCATGGCATTCGATGTAAAGCGTACCAAATCTCTGGTGGAGCTTAACTATACTATGCGGAATAAGCACCCACATCTGTTCATGGATCGCAACATGGAGGACGAGATGACCGCCAAGGGCCTGAGGGTGTCGTAAGTAAAATTATAAAGATCGATAGGAGAGATTACAAACTAATAATATTCCTTCTTTATAGGGATGTTCTGATATTACCGGGCATTACGCCACAAGGAAATAAACTGCTCTTCTTCCGTCTGGCAGATCTTGATCCACGTACGGTGGGTATTGGCAGTCTTTTAAATTGTGATCTATATATATACAACTGATCAATAAAATCCATATTTTTATAGCGCAATTCCGTGGAGGAGACCAAAATCTTCTTTATGATGAGTGATGCGCGATTTACTATGCCGGATGTGGATAGAGAAGTTGGGTCCGAAAACGGAGAGGCTTACGAACTGGACGAAGCGGATATTGCGAATGGTGATGTTCAGATCGTGGACATTGAGGGCTACACTCTGCGTCACCTGGCCTACGTGTCCATTTTCGTGCTGCGAATTTACATGAAATTCCTGCAGGAGGCGTATCCCTCCCGCCTGCAGGCCATGCACGTAATCAATTGTCCCTCCTACCTGGACAGGCTAATCTCCATGATGTCCCCCTTCATAAGGGAGGAAGTGCGCAATATGGTAATGCCCACAGTAATCCCACCTAATTCTCAGCCTCTAATGGAACTTATTTGCAGATCAAGTACCACACAGAGGGCTTGGAGAGCCTCTATAAGGAAGTTCCCAGGGACATGTTGCCGGAGGAGTATGGCGGCAAGGCGGGCTCTCTAGCGGAACTCAAGGCCCGGGGCGTTAAGTCCATCAAGGACAAAAGGTAAGCTCGGGAAATATAAATCAAAATTTGGGTTATCCGACTCTTGTTATAGTGCCTACCTGAGCGATGAGCGTTACTGGAAAGTCTCCTCCCAGAGCAAGAGCCGCTGGTCCTGGTTCTGATATTCCAATAAATTATTAGCTTCCACACATATCCTGCGAACGTGATATATATTCAAATGTGATCAACGAGCGCGCCTTGCCAAAGCAAAGGTATCGATTAGTCGGGGAAGTCCCTGATATAACTACAGGACTAAAAGTACAATTCGTTACAGCTGTCCTTTGAGAAGAATTTCTAAGTATATTCAGCTATATTTCCACTCTTTCCATTTATGTTAAGTGCATTTTTTTTTTCAATTAAGGGGTATTAGCAGAAATGTGAAACGTTTATATGACAATAAATTAATATAATTGTATTTTATGGTTTTATTACAGCCAAAAGTAGATAGAATTGTTTTAAGTGTGCTAAGCTAATTGTTTATTTAAATTTGCCAATATTGTAGGCATTAAAAATGGTATGAGGTGTTCGAAAGGAAGGGTTTACTGTGGGAAAATGGACATATGGGCCATTTTAACTTTTTGGAAACCAAATTTTTTGGTTTAATGAAATAAACCTATCAGTGAAAAGTAGCCTCACATTTTAATTTCAAATAAAACGAAATTGTGTCATCACCGTGTATGGATACGGAATTTGGATGCGGCACACGACCAGGTGATTAGGCAGATCCAGAAGCTGGGACGGAACATATTTAGGCACTATTAAGCGTCGGCCAAACGACGGCACAAAAGCAATTATGAAATTACGTGGTTTTAATCGCAGACGCAATAGCATTGAATATTCAAAAACTAAATCGATGCGGGACTCGCAGTCAGTCGATTGCTAAGCTTCAAGCCCAACGGTTCGATTCGAAAGTGATTTTTGAAAGGGATTCGAAAGCGATTCGAAGGCGATAGCTGCGTCCGATTGGCGATAGGTAGACCAGGTGGGAGAGAAAGCGGAGCAATCGATAGCCAGGCGCACCAATGAGCGGCGTGGGTGGGAATGAGACGGAGGCGGAGGCAGGCGGTCCGGCGGAACAGCTGCAACGGGAAAGGCAACGCGAACAGGATCTCAAGGAGCTGCTCGAGTGGTTCCGGCAAAATGAGAAGCTGCCCAAGGAGATTGGTAAGACCCATGTGGGAATCTCACATCCGCAGCAGCACCCCCCCACCCCGCTACTCATAAAAAAACCATTGCCCATTATAAACCACCCACCTCCCAATAATGAGGTCGTTAGTAGGCCGCTCCACTCGCCGCCTTACGTCACTGCAGAGTTTTGTATACAAACAAATGATGTACAGTCGAACGTCCCTAAGTCAGACTGCCTTACTAAAGGACCCAAAAGTCTCACCTTTTAATAAAGCAGATTTTGGTTTGCAATTAATGTGTCGGAAAACAGAAAAATCGACTTTTAGTTTCAGGCGTTGCGCAATGATTTTCAAAATTGTATACAAATTACTCATACGACCCTTATGCCAGTAAGAATTTTATAAAACACAATGAAAATGTAGAGAAGACTATTTCTTTATAGTCAAACCAAGGTTTTTAATTTAACGACATGCAAAGTGTAAGCACCAAAGTAAAAACAGATTAATTAATCCCAGACAACAGTACGTATGAGTGATAAAACTTCAAGCCAATTGGCAGACCTTGAAACGCCTTTTTTTAAACTCTGATAAAATCATACAACTATATTTTATCTTGTGGTATTAAAAATACACGTTTATTCTTCTGCAACTTAAAATATTGTTTATTTAAACTTTTTGCTTGACAATTAGCGGTACATGTTATGGAAGTTGGACAGTAATTTATATATAATATCTATTTGCAGAGCCACTGCTGCTCCGGCGCTTTTACCAGTGCATGTTTGGGAATGTGGAGGAGACCCAGAAGCTCATCGAGGTAAACTACGCCCTGCGAAACCGGCATCCGCACCTGTTCATCCAGAGAGATCCCTTGGATGCGGACAGCCGGCGCACCTTCGACTACGCGTAAGTGTCCTTGTGTTCTTGTTAGATAGATCTCCTATCAGAGGTGCTCCAGGTTTCATTATCCTCCGATTTACATCTATTTCTTTTGGTTTAATGTTAATATTTTGCTATAATTTTAAGCACGACAAATATCTTGAATCTATACTATATATCAATATCTATATGTTGCAGTGACATCCTACCGCTGCCGGGTCTAACGCCTGAAAAGTACAAGGTATCGCTCTACTGTTTCCGGGACTTTGAAGCCACCAAGGTGAGCAGTACATCCATTTGAGATGGGAATATCCAATTCAGACCCATCCCATCCACAGATGCATCACACGGAGGACACTCGCGCCTTCTTTATGGTCAGCGATTGTCGTTTTGTGACGCCAGACGACTGCGCAAACCCGGAGATTTTGTCCGAAGGCGAGGTGCAGATCTTCGACATGAAGGGCACGACCATGCGGCATATATCCCGGCTCACGATCAGCACCTTGCGTGCCTACATCAAGTTCCTCCAGTTGGCTTTCCCCGTGCGACTGCGCGCCATCCACATGGTCAACTGTCCAACTTACTTGGATCGAATCGTCAGCGTGGTGAAGCCGTTTATCAGCGAGGAGGTCTTCAAACTGGTAGGTTATTCAGTTATATTCCTGATGGGAATCATGAAATTAATCAACTTCAAACACTAATACAACATTTTTCAAAACTCAGATCCGCTTCCACACGGTCAGCATGGACTCTTTGTACGAATTTGTGCCCCGGGCGATGTTGCCGGAGGAATATGGTGGAGGGGCCGGATCCTTGGAAACCCTGCGGACCCAGACCCAAAAGACCTTGGTTGAGCATCGGTGGGTTTTCGATCTGAAATGCGAGACCATTTAGTAACGCCCCATTGCTTTTTATAGCGACTATCTGATGAATCCCAACCACTGGGTAGTGGAGAAAACCGAGAAGCGTAGCGGAAACTCATGGAGATTTTTCAAATAATTGGAGAAGGCATAATTGCCGGGGATTTTTCATTCTAACTCGTTAATTGGTATTATTTTTTTTTCATATTTATAGACTTTGTATATGTGCCTGTGTATTTAAATGGTTCCTGCGGCATTTCGTCTGTTAAATAAAGCTTATTTTTGTAATTAACCTTTGAAATTGGTCAAGGAAATTAAACAAATAAAAGCTTTAGAGATATCTAACTACTTTTTTATTGTTGGCAAATAAAATTTGTTATTTTTGGTGGTAAATAGTGTTAATCATTTTCAGAGTTGAAGTCATTAAAATTGACTTGATATCTAAAATACACCTACTAGTAATGCTTAAAAGTAATTATATCCTTATTATTTTAAGACTTTTTTAGTTTGAGATTATTTTATTAAAAGTTTGGGTTTGTTCATTTTTCAGAAATTGTTGTTTAAAATGTTACTTCTTTAACCGCTATTTAAAGAAGAGGAGTGCACCGGCAGAGGAAACCCGGTAATCGCTTATCGATAGCAAACTATCGCAATACGTATATCGTTATCGCAGCACATTGGTGGCATTATTTATAAAAAGATTAGTTCGTTTTAGCAATTTACTAGGTAGTTTGTTAAGTTAAGAAGCACGCACAGCAGATTTCAGCCATGGAGAGGCCCCAGAAGATGCCCAAGGTGGCCAAGGTGAGTGGTGTGGATGTGGATGGAGACTATGTGGAACCACCAACTAACACAAAATTTCACCAGGTGAAAAACAAGGCGCCGGCGGAGGTGCAGATTACGGCGGAGCAGCTGCTCCGTGAGGCCAAGGAGCGTGATCTGGAGATCCTGCCGCCGCCACCGAAGCAGAAGATCTCCGATCCCGCCGAGCTTGCCGATTACCAGCAGCGGAAGCGCAAGACCTTCGAGGACAATCTCCGCAAGAACCGCATGGTGGTCAGCCACTGGATCAAGTACGCCCAGTGGGAGGAGCAGCAGCAGGAGATACAGCGGGCACGCTCCATTTGGGAGCGGGCGCTGGACAATGAGCACCGGAACGTGACCCTCTGGCTGAAGTACGCCGAGATGGAGATGAAGAACAAACAGGTCAACCATGCCCGCAACCTATGGGATCGGGCGGTGACCATCATGCCGCGGGTCAACCAGTTCTGGTACAAGTACACCTACATGGAGGAGATGCTGGAGAATGTGGCCGGAGCGCGTCAGGTGTTCGAGCGCTGGATGGAGTGGCAGCCGGAGGAGCAGGCCTGGCAAACGTACGTCAACTTCGAGCTGCGCTACAAGGAGATCGACCGGGCACGCGAGGTCTACGAGCGTTTTGTCTATGTGCATCCCGACGTGAAGAATTGGATCAAGTTCGCCCGCTTCGAGGAGTCGCATGGGTTCATCCATGGCTCGCGGCGCGTCTTCGAGCGGGCAGTGGAGTTCTTTGGGGACGAGTACATCGAGGAGCGGCTGTTCATCGCCTTTGCCCGCTTCGAGGAGGGACAGAAGGAGCACGACCGGGCGCGCATCATTTACAAGTACGCTCTGGATCACCTGGCCAAGGATCGCACACAGGAGCTGTTCAAGGCCTACACGATACACGAGAAGAAGTACGGCGATAGGGCGGGCATCGAGGATGTGATCGTGTCCAAGCGCAAGTACCAGTACGAGCAAGAGGTGGCCGCCAATCCCACCAACTACGATGCCTGGTTCGACTATCTGCGCTTGATCGAGGCGGAGGGCGAGCGGGACCAGATCCGCGAGACCTACGAGCGGGCCATCTCCAATGTGCCGCCCGCCAACGAGAAGAACTTCTGGCGGCGCTACATCTACCTGTGGGTCAACTACGCTCTGTACGAGGAACTGGAGGCGGAGGACGCAGAGCGTACGCGACAGATCTACAAGACCTGCCTGGAGCTGATACCCCATAAGCAGTTTACCTTCAGCAAGCTGTGGCTGCTGTACGCCCAGTTCGAGATCCGCTGCAAGGAGCTCCAGCGGGCACGCAAGGCCCTGGGTCTGGCCATTGGCATGTGCCCGCGCGACAAGCTCTTCAGGGGCTACATTGATCTGGAGATCCAGCTGCGCGAGTTCGAGCGCTGCCGCCTGCTGTACGAGAAATTCCTGGAATTCGGCCCTGAGAACTGCGTCACCTGGATGAAGTTCGCCGAGCTGGAGAATCTCCTGGGCGACACTGAGCGGGCGAGGGCCATTTTCGAGCTGGCGGTGCAGCAGTCCCGCCTGGACATGCCGGAGCTGCTGTGGAAGGCGTACATCGACTTCGAGGTGGCCCTGGGCGAAACGGAGCTGGCCAGGCAGCTGTACGAGCGACTACTCGAGCGCACACAGCATGTGAAGGTGTGGATGTCGTTTGCCAAGTTCGAGATGGGCCTCAGCCACGGCGAGAGCGGCCAGGATGCGGAGCTGAACGTGCGGCTGGCCAGGAGAATCTACGAGCGGGCCAACGACATGCTGCGCCAGCTGGGCGACAAGGAGTCGCGTGTCCTGTTGCTAGAGGCGTGGCGCGACTTTGAACGCGACGCCTCCGATTCACAGGCGCTCCAGAAGGTAATGGATAAGATGCCGCGGCGCATCAAGAAGCGGCAGAAGATCGTCTCGGACGAAGGGGTCGAGGAGGGCTGGGAGGAGGTCTTCGACTACATCTTCCCCGAGGACGAGATGGCGCGGCCTAATCTCAAGCTGTTGGCCGCCGCCAAGATGTGGAAGAAGCAGAAGGACGTCACGGAGGACGACGAACCCGCTCCAGCTATTGCATCCGAGCCTGAACCAGCAACAGATCCTGCTCCAGCGGAGGCAACGTCTGGCGGTGACTGATCCGGAGCAAGCTATTCCATCACGCAACGCCAACGCTCTTTTCTTGGAGGAAACCATTTTTTTTAGCCTCAAAATTGCAGATCGCATGATTTTTAATTATGCAAGGACAACACCAATTAAATAAAACATCAGAATGACATTTAATATTTGCATTTTATTGGTTATACTTGTTCGTGATAGCCATTGAGCTTTACACTTTCTATTGGTGTTGTTACTAGTATATCTTCTTAATTTAAATAGAATATGTTTAAGCGTGTATATTATATTAAATATCGATGCAACTACTTTCAATTTCTTACTGCACAAGATGTGTTCATTTTAGTGAGATTATAAGTCAAATATGATACTTTTACTAAAAAATCTTGATTTATTTAAGGGATAAAAGGAATATTTTTTTCTTTTTCGAATGTTTTTATTACATCGCCATGTGATAGCTTGGAACCCATGGATTCACTTCAACTTACTTGGCCCTCAGCAAAAGTGTGAAAGCGGAGTAGGTGAACCTGATGACCTGAAAACCAGTATAAAGTTGTACTAAATGAACAATAACATAAGATATGTTCCCTTGCCTGCTCGAAGGTCTCCAGCGAGAGCGCTATGTAGTTGCCGGCGAAGATGAGCGAAGGCCTCTGGGTCCTGGCCAGCGTGAAGAGCAGGGCCCGCTTGAATTTGGGCAGCTGCTCCACCCAGTTGCAGGCGTAGAAGGCATCGCACAGGGCCTCGCTCTGCGTTCGCATCCTGTCCCCGAAGAAGCAGATGACGAACACCTCCAGGGTGACTGCCGTGAAGAAGACGATCGAGATGATCATGGCCGTGAGGTCCTTGTCATCGGCCATGTACAGGAAGTGCATGGCCACTGTGCACTGGACGGCGGCGGAGCAGGCGAACTGGGCCATGCAGGCCACCGAGAGGATTTGCTGGATAATCTCCCTCAGCCGATGGACGCGCATCAGATCCCGGATGCACTCGACCAGCTCCTCGTACACCTCCTCCTTCCCATCAGCTCCATAGCCAATCCGACGCACCCTCAGCTCCAAGGCACGCATGTGACCCGTGAGCAGGCAGAGAAAGGCCGGCGGATAGGAGTCACTGGCGCAGTTCTGGATAGCCTGCACGGTCAAGCCGAAGAGCTGGTAGATATTGATGAGCACATAGTTCCTGGTCGAGTTCTTCCAGTCCACGCCGAACCAGGCCGGATAGAGGAGCTCCCGGTCCGGACGAATGACCACCCTGACGCAACTCAAGGTGGTGCCGAAAACAAAGATCCTGGCGAAGGTGCGGAAGCTGCCCTGGGCGATGTCCACCTCCCGTCGTAAGGCAGAGAGCTCCGCTGGATCACCCACGCTCTTGGTCCTTTTGTCCATCCGCCGCAGGAGCGAACGAATCTCCTGGAGCTGCGACCGCACCAAATAGACATTCACAAACTTCAAATTGGCCACGACATCCGTAATGGTAATGGTCAGATTCTCGCACAATCCGGCCATGTTGGTGGTGAACAATAGCCTGGCAATCAGGCTCAAGGGAAACAGCACGGTGACCACCGAATTAAGCACTATGGAGTACATCCGGTAGGCCAGGCGGGAAATCCCCGGCGGACGCATCAGGCCAGTGAGCTCCCAAACACGCCAGTGATAGTACACAGCACTGTGCGTGTCCAGTTCGAGTTCCTCCTGATTCGCCATGATCCAGCTTACCTTTTGACCCACCAAGGGAGTCCCATGGCTTTTATACTCCGGCGATTACCTGTGATTGCGCCATTACATGGCTTGTTGGTTCAACTTTTCGGGTAAGTGGCTGGGAAAAACACCCATGGGCCTAAGTAATGATCCCCCAGTAAAAGTTTTCGCTTAGCTAATTTTGTTTTTGTTGGAAATCTCTCTTTATTCTGCAGTATTCTTCATTCTTGAGGGGGCTTGGGGGGATGTTGGAGTTTTCATTAGGTATCAACTAACAGTTGGGCCCAAAATCACCTGACAAGCAAGGTCAAAGTGGCGTTTGCTAAAATATTTAGTCTTAATATCCCTATTTACCATTTTGTTTTTTAACTACCTGAGGGTTAAGTTTCTCCCCACTGATTACGTGAATTCTACTTTAAAGCCAATTGGGTATTACCACGATTAATGCGAGTACTAACCTTGACCTATGGTTGCTAAATTGTGCCTTATAATTATTTGTTACTCCTCTGACGTTAAAGCCAGTTAAGTTATTGCTTATTGGGGATTGCTGTTAACTGATTGGTTTGTATGCAAATTGGTGCTATATCAAAGGCTCTTAATGTGTTTAATGTGAACGCTAAATTTAACCAGAGAAGAATTATTTGTGCCTTTCCTTTTTTCTCTCAGTTTTAAAGCCAGGAAATTATTACTTATCGAGGGATTGGTGTTAACTGGTTTTAAGTTGGGGCTATAATGGGTCCTACAATTACTTGCTACTTTTTCGCTATTAGTGGCTACTTTAAGGTTACTTGTCAGGTGGAAATAGGTCCACAAGATCTAGAGCATTACAAATCTACTATTGGTAGGGAGAAAAGGGAACAGGGTAGGGGTCAGGGGTCAGGGGTCAGGGGCACGGGCACGGGTTTCAGGAAAAAAGAACACAAAAACAAATCCGTAGATGCACACCATCGAGAACACGTTCACAGAGTGATCTTAATTTGTAGTTTTTAAGAATTAATTTAAAAATACAATCAAGTGGTGTAATCCAAGGCTTACAGAGTGATTTTTGCCCGGCTGCTTGGAGTCCGGTCTCTCTGATCCATAATGCTGCGTCCCAAGCAACCGGGCAGTGAATATTAAATATTAATTATATATAATCAATATATATGCATATATATGTAGCTAAGGGTGTATAATTATGTGTACAAATAATTGATATTGCTGCAGCTTAGAATTGAAGAAAAGGTTGTTTGTTTTCAATAGGGAAACTGTTACGTTACGGTTACAATTCAATACTCTACGTTACGTTACGGTCACAATTAACAATCATCGTTAAAATGGTGAATCGTTATGCGATATTCATTATCATAATCTTTGTCTTTAGAATTTCTCCCACATGATCATCGCTGGGGTTGTTTTTTAGTTTTTCTTTGTTTCAATATTATCGTAATTAAGCTCAGTTCTCAGTCGCAAAAGCAACGTGTGACAATGGCACCTCCTCGGGAGGATATATCCGGTGTATATATCCGATATCGAGTCGGGGTCTTGAGTTCTATACGTCTTCAATTGTCAGACTCTTGCTCTTGCTCGCTTATCTCTCTTTTTTCTTTACTATTAGTTCTGAACTGCTCTTTATGTTTTATGTTTTACGTTTTAATTTTAGTTTTAGTTTTACTTTCTGTTCTGTGAGTCGACCTGATCTTGATTCGGTTCGATTCGATTTGATTCGGTATTCGGTTTCGGTTGCATTGGCTGCCTAGGGATTTGGAATTGTTGCATCTTCAGCGCTTCCGGCCTTAGGGGCGGCGCTCTGATCTGAATTTGCGTTTTTGTCTTTGTCTGACTTGGCATCCTGCAAAAGAAATACGAGTATTGCCAACGGGTTTCAAAAGCGATTTTCGAGTGTGTAAATAAAGCTCTCAGATCTGTTCTCGTTTTCACATGCATTTTGTGAATTTCCCCATTCAATTTCCAATTAGGCCTAGGAAATTCGCAAAATCACATTGGGTAAATAAAATGTAAGTGTACAATTTTTACGATTTTTCAACCCAAAATCACATAAAAAAGTCGTTGAATTTATGAGTTGTAAGCTTCCATACGTTACAAGATAACAAGGTACTTTATCTTTAGCGGAAATGAAAGCGGGAACATTCTTAAATACTGAGGCTCGTTTAATAAAAAAGTATTTGTATATCAATTAAGGAATATAAGTTACTAAAAGTGCATTTGACGATGCAACTACGGTTGCCACTTAGAAAGTAAAAAAATATATATAATCGTAATACTTTGAAAACGTTATTTCATTAATTCTAATAATTGTAAAAATTTTCTTGGATTCCAGTTTCAAGACTTTTGAACGTATATATATGCCAAATGGATTTACTCTTTTGCGGATTTAGATTCGTGCCAAGGGAACCGAATGTGAAATCGGAGTGGTCGCAACCTGCTGCCCAGGGACTCCAGGATAGCCGGATAACCGGAGGCAGAGCAGCAGGTTGCGACTTTCGCGCTCGCTCTGCTTTCCTCTCCTTTTTTTTTTCTCCTACCAAAGGCAAAGGCGACAAAGAGGGATGGGGTTGGGGATACGGATCGGATTAGAGTTGCAAATCGATTCCAGTTGGAACCGAAACTGTACCCGCAATCGATGTGCATCCCTGCGGGAACGCTTTCAGATGGGACACCTGTTCGGGGGAAAATGGGGAGACGCTAGGGATCCACTATATGCTCACCTTGGCCTTGACGCTAGCAGCCTCCTGCTTGAGATACTCCTCCCGCGCTGCCTCGTAGAGGCCCACGAACTTGTCTCGCTGCCCCTTGTACTGGGCAAAGAGCTCGTCGTCCTTGTGTCCCTTCAGCCGGTCCTCGATGTCCACCTTCTTGGCGTGCTCGGCGCGTATCTCGTCCGTGACCCAGGGCTTGTCGATGGGGTACTGGTTGATCAGGTTCTTCAGCGTCTTGATGCTGCTCTTCCCCTTGACCGCCTGCTTGATCAGCTTGGGATTGGGCTTCGTGATCCGGCCGCCGTTCATGTTCATTGGCCCGAAGGGACCACCCGGTGGCATGCCACGCGGCGGCATCCGCGGACCCATCATATGCATGGGCGGTGGGCCACCCATCATGGGACCCGGACCGGGCCCGTTGCGACGCATAAAGTGCGGCGGTGGAGGCGGCGGGGGCCCACCCATGGGCGGCATCGGATGTGGTCCACGCATCCCGGGCATTGGCGGTTGGAAAGGCATCTGCGGGTAAGGGCCCATGGGTCCGGGGCCTCGTGGTCCGGGTCCCATGGGGCCCATTGGCGGACCCATCATGTGGCGTCCAGGCGGCCGATTCGGTGGGGGTCCGCGTTGGAACCCATTAAAGCCTCCGCGATTCTGGTTGGGATTGTTGCCCGGAAAGCGCTGCCAGTCGCCTCCGTTCATCTGGTTATTGAAAGGCTGCTGCTGGTTCATCTGCTTGTTGTTCTGGTTGTTCATCCTGCCCTGCTGCTGGTTGGGATTGGGATGCTGCTGCTGTTGCTGTTTGATGCCCTTCAGAGGCTTCTTCTTCAGACCGTCGCCTTGATTTTGGTTGTTTCCCGGTGCTGGACTGTTGAAGTCTATGTACAGGGGATCACTGGGCATTTGGCTGGAGGAGAACATCATCTGGCTGTTGCCATTGCCACTGTTACTATTCCCGTTCCCGTTTCCATTCCCATTCCCGTTTCCATATTCATTTCCACCGGGTCCGGAGCCATTGTTGTTGCCCGGACGGAATGGTTTCCTATACGGAGCTGCAGCTGCACGGGGATTATTGTTATTATTATTGTTGTTGTTGTTCTGGTTATTGCGCTGCTGCGGATGGGGATTTTGCTGCTGCTGCTGCTGTTGCGGGTACTGCTGATACTGTTGTTGCTGCTGGGGGTACTGCTGCGGCTGCATGGCCCGGTTCTGCTGGAATTGGTTCTTGGACACCATCGCGAGCAGCGCCAACTAGCTGGAGGGGATTAGGACGCACAGAAAGATAGGAACGACACACGAAGAGCGGATTAATACCGAACAATCCACGCTTACTTTGTTAAAAATATTATATTAGGAAAAATTACGATCCGGTCATCGATACTGAAACATCGAATAAATACTTCGATATTCCTCAATAATTCTTAAAGCATCGATATGTCGCAAGTATTTTAAGAACTATCGATAGTTGAAGAAATTAGCGGCAATTAAAAAAAGAACATTTTATGTTTAAAACAAACTGTAGTTTTCATAAAGAGAATATATTAAAATATAGCCAACGTCCGATTTGTTAACCAGTTTCACCTTATCGCCCGGGCTGTTATCGATAAGGTTGTTATCGCTGCTGCACGTGTGATGTGATGTTTATATTTTAAAAAAGACAATAATTTTACTGATATTAATAATATCATTATTAATAAAGTAAACATGGGCAAGAAAGTGCACAATGCCAAGGCACGGCAGAATCCGCAAACCATAGTGGACAACTCGGCCGTGAAGAAGGTGGGTATCCCTAAACGTGAACCGTAGCTCAGACCAAATGCTCACCCGACCAATCTAATCCCTTACAGATCCAGATCGATGTGGATGCAGTGGCCGGCGCAAGCCAGACGGGCTACGATGAGGCCAACGCCCTGGTGCTGCCCTCCGAGAAGCGGGCCACCAAGATCAAGGTGGACAAGGTGCAGCACGTGAAGATCCTCACCAAGAAGCAGCGCAAGCACCTGCAGGCGATTGTTGACAAGAAGAAGAAGAAGGAAGGCGTAGGTTGACTCAGGGATTGAGGTTGAATTATTTATCAAGGTGAATCTTTTGTATTTTAGCGCGCCCAGCTCTTGGGCGACCTGGCCGCAGTGCAAATCCCAGAGGCGGAACTGCAGCAGTACACTTCTATCAGCCAGGTGCAAACGGTGGGCCTAAAGCGTCTGCCCACTCTGGACGAGTATCTGGCTAAGAAGAAGGAGCGGCAGGCGCAAGCACTGGCCGAAAGCAGCTCGAGATCGGGAATTCGCGTCAATGCCATCAAAGGCTCCAAGCGCAAGCTGCTAGCCGAGGAGGAGGAGGAACTGGAGGCCAAGCGAAAGAATCCGAATGTGGTGAGCTTGGAGGAGGACGATGAGGACGATGACGACTCTTCTGATGACCAGGAAGATGAGGCACCAGCTCAACTTGCTCCTCCCGCCATACCAACACCAGTTTCTGCTACCCCAGCAAAAATTGAGGATAAACCTGCCAAGCAAAAGCCAAAACCGGAGCCTGCTCCACCCGCCTGCATCCACCAGACCGTCTACGTGCCCGTGCATCGCACCACTGAGGTCCAGGAGGCCCGTCTGCGGCTACCCATCCTCGCCGAGGAGCAGCAGGTGATGGAGACCATTAACGAGAACCCCATTGTGATCGTGGCTGGCGAGACGGGCTCCGGAAAGACTACCCAGCTGCCGCAGTTTCTGTACGAGGCGGGTTACGCCCAGCACAAGATGATCGGGGTAACGGAGCCGCGGCGAGTGGCTGCCATCGCCATGTCAAAGCGAGTGGCCCACGAGATGAACCTGCCGGAGAGCGAGGTGTCCTACCTCATTCGCTTCGAAGGAAACGTAACGCCAGCCACGCGCATCAAGTTCATGACCGATGGTGTGCTGCTCAAGGAGATCGAAACGGACTTCCTGCTCAGCAAGTACTCGGTGATCATCCTGGACGAGGCGCACGAGCGCAGCGTTTACACGGACATCCTTGTTGGCCTGCTCTCGAGGATCGTTCCCTTACGCCACAAACGCGGCCAACCGCTGAAACTGATAATCATGTCCGCCACGTTGCGTGTAACCGATTTCACGGAGAACTCGCGTTTGTTCAAGATTCCACCACCGTTGCTAAAAGTGGAGGCGCGCCAGTTCCCAGTGACCATTCACTTCCAAAAGCGCACGCCCGAGGACTACGTGGCGGAAGCCTATCGCAAGACCTTGAAGATTCACAACCAGCTGCCCGAAGGCGGCATCCTGATTTTTGTGACAGGCCAGCAGGAGGTAAACCAACTGGTGCGCAAGCTCCGACGCACGTTCCCCTATCATCCGCCGACCAAGGATGTGGCGAAAAAGTCGGAAATTGAACAGGAAGCTACGGAAGAAACAAAGGACGACGTGGCCGAAACTGCGGAGGACCCCAAGGAGCAGGAATTCGACATGAAGAGAGTTATACGCAACATTCGCAAGTCAAAGAAGAAATTCCTGGCCCAGATAGCGCTGCCCAAAATCAACCTGGATGACTATAAGCTTCCTGGCGATGATACGGAAGCAGACATGCATGAGCAACAGGACGAGGAAGAGGAGCAGGAGGACGACGACGAGCTGGGGTTGGAAGAGGAGTCGGGAATGGCCTCCGGCCAGAGGCAACCCCTCTGGGTCCTGCCCCTCTACTCGCTGCTCTCCTCGGAGAAGCAGAACCGCATCTTCCAGCCCGTTCCCGAGGGCTGCCGGCTGTGCGTGGTCAGCACCAATGTGGCGGAGACCTCGCTCACCATTCCGCACATCAAGTATGTGGTGGACTGCGGTCGCCAGAAGACTCGTCTCTACGACAAGCTGACCGGTGTGAGTGCCTTCGTGGTCACCTACACGTCCAAGGCTTCGGCGGATCAGCGGTCTGGACGAGCGGGTCGCATCAGCGCCGGACATTGCTATCGTCTCTACTCGAGTGCCGTGTACAACGACTGCTTCGAGGACTTCTCCCAGCCGGATATCCAGAAGAAGCCAGTCGAGGATCTGATGCTGCAGATGCGCTGCATGGGCATCGATCGCGTGGTGCACTTCCCCTTCCCTTCGCCACCGGATCAGGTGCAGCTGCAGGCCGCCGAGCGGCGCTTGACGGTGCTGGGTGCCCTGGAGGCCTCCACCAACTCAGAGAAAACGGACTTGCCGCCTGCCGTCACCCGCTTGGGCCAGGTGATCTCCCGTTTCCCCGTGGCGCCGCGCTTTGGCAAGATGCTGGCCCTGTCTCACCAACAGAACCTGCTGCCCTACACCGTCTGCCTGGTGGCCGCTCTCTCCGTCCAGGAGGTGCTCATCGAGACGGGCGTGCAAAGGGACGAGGATGTGGCGCCCGGCGCGAACCGTTTCCACCGTAAACGCCAGAGTTGGGCGGCCAGCGGCAACTACCAGCTGCTCGGGGATCCCATGGTCTTGTTGCGAGCCGTCGGAGCAGCGGAGTACGCCGGATCGCAGGGCCGGTTGCCGGAGTTCTGTGCCACGAACGGATTGCGACAGAAGGCGGTTAGCGAGGTGCGAAAACTACGCGTCCAGCTGACCAACGAGATCAACCTGAATGTGAGTGATGTGGAGCTGGGCGTGGATCCCGAACTAAAGCCTCCCACGGATGCTCAGGCGCGGTTCCTCCGACAAATTCTTCTGGCTGGCATGGGCGACCGGGTGGCCAGGAAGGTGCCTCTGGCCGACATTGCCGACAAGGAGGAGCGACGGCGACTAAAGTACGCCTACCACTGCGCCGATATGGAGGAGCCAGCCTTCCTGCATGTCTCATCTGTGCTGCGTCAAAAGTCACCCGAGTGGGTTGTCTACCAGGAGGCGTATGAGCTGCAGAACGGCGACTCCACCAAGATGTTTATTCGTGGCATCACCGCAATCGAGCCGGAGTGGTTGCTTCTGTACGTTCCTCTGCTTTGCAACATTCGCGAGGTGCGCGAGGATCCTGCTCCCAGGTTCGACGAGGCTTCTGGCAAGATCTACTGCCATGTGGACGCAACGTTTGGCAAGTCTGGCTGGGAACTGCCACTGGGCGAGGTGGAGATGCCGCTCAGCGAGAAGGCCTGCTGGTAAGTCTCTAACATATTGGATTGGGTTTATACGCGATTCAACTGATACATTTTTCTTTTCAGTTACTTCGGCATGTTTCTGCTGGAGGGCCAAGTTTGCTCCCGGCTAGCCGAGTTTCGCGGCAAACTAAAGTCCACGCCCGCCTCCGTGATCAAGAGCTGGTCCAGCATGAACGACAAGGTACTGCGCTTCAAACGAGCTCTGATCACCAAGCAGATCCACAACCGCCAGGCGCTGCTCGACCAGTGGACTAGCGACCCCAACTGTAAGTTCACCAGTGTCTCCCAAACCTTATTTTATTACAATTCCATCTCCTATGTTTAGTCCTGTTGGAGGAGTACCAGAATCTGCTCTATGACGTGGCCCTCAGCCAATTGACGCCTCTGTGGCCACCAGTGGACAAGAAGAAACCACAAGGCCAGTAAAAAAGATAGTTAAACAGCGGGGGTCTTTTTGTATAACAAGTTTCATTTATTATTTATTTAATTGATATATATTTATATAATTTTTTATGTATAATATAAATATGAAATTTGTTTTAAATGGAACTAAAAAAAATGGAGTGGAGTGAGGGGGAATAAAAATGTTTTTGTTAACAGCTAAGTTTCGATTAATGTTTAATACAATCCATATATGTACATAGAAATAATCAATATTCATTGTATTTTGTATTTTTTAGTTTGTTTGTTTGTTGTCTGTTGGTTTTCTCTCTTGGTAATTCATCGTAAGTTAATCCTTCTGCTGTTAATGAGAAATTAGCATTTACACTTGTGTTTATGAGAGATTTGGCTAACTGGGCATGTGGCTATATAGTGGGTTTATGCCTTGGTTATATACGCATCGAACGAACGGAACGATCGGATTCGGATTGGCCGACAAACTGTAGCTTTGTTCGCTTAGCTTTGCTCTTCCCCATATGTACATGTAAATCGCTAGTTGGAATTGGGATTAGGACTCCGTTTGCTGCAGCTCCTCCTCCCCAGGCAATTGGCTGGGACTCCTCGAATGTCATCCTCCATACGTCTACAAATGTGTGTGTAGAAAAAATCAGTCTAATATATTAAGGCAACGTGAGAGCTTTACATGTCGTCATTCCACTTGATCCTCGTCCTCATCCTCATCCTCTTAATCATCTAGGAATTGTGTGTAATATCTTAGTTTTGTAACTTGAATCCTGTCCGAAGTTCGCTTTTCGCTTAGGCTAATTTTATGCTGTTTTTTTTGTTTTGTTTTTGTATCCTTTGTGTACTCTTTAACAATCAATTTTGGTATGTTTTGTGTCTGTGTGTGTTGTGTGGGGCTCATTAACATTAACTTTAAACTAATTTCCGTTAAATATATATTTATAAATTCTTTAGGTTTGCTTAATATTTCTGTATTGGCTAGCAAGAGGAGAAAGAACAAAATAGGTAATGTTTGAGAAGCATTTGGTTTTCCGTTTCCGTATTATACAATTCGCAAGTTACAACAATTAGTTAGATATTTATCTTATGATCTCCTGTCCAAAATCCTGCTCTCGATTTGCGCTCTTTTTTCCTATATATTGAGTATGATCTATAACTTTTCATTAATACTAAAAATTGAATTCTTTGTTTTTTTTTTTGTTTGTTTTTGTCTGAATTATTGTAGCTTGCTCCTAATTCCTATGCATACACTAAACGCAGTCGTTTTATAAACTTTACTTTGATTTCTTGGAAGTGTTCTCATTTGTTGTTGTTGGTTTTTCTGGCCAGGATCGGTGTTCGGATTTGGGCCACACCCATGCAAGGAGACACACAGTGCGGAAGCCCGGAGCAGAGTCGTCGTCTTCACCTTCAATCTCTGCTCTTTGCTGATATGTATTACAAGGTTGTGTCCATGTCCACCTGGGTGTGCGTCCATGCCTTCGGGGTGTTTGCTTGGCAAACAAATGCAAATCTATGTAAAGGCAAGTCCATTGTGATCCCTTAGACCGTTGTCCCCGTCTCGCTTTCGTCATTCCCATCGCTTGGCGGCTCCTCGGAGGCCGATTCGGGGATCTCGTCTAGATCGACTGCCTCCTCCTGCTCCTCCTGGCTGAGAGAGGCGGAGCTTGGGGAGTTGGCACTGGAAGTGGAGCTGGCCTCAGCGGGAATGGGACTGGGCGGAGGTGTGGGCGGAGCTGGCTGCTCCTCGGGCTGGGAAACGGTGACCTCCTCCAGCGGTGCCTGGTCCTCGGGATCTGCTACTGCTACTGCTTCCTCTTCCTTTTCCTCTTCCTGCTTTGGCTCCTTTTCTATATCCTTGACCTCCTCTTCACCTTCATTGGCAGTGACTGTGGCTGTGGCGGTGGCGGTGGCGGTTGCCTCCTCATCCGTCTCAGCAGCGGGCGTCTCTTGCTGCTGCTGCTGGACCGCATCGTCCAGCTTTTGGAGCAGCTCCGGCGACAACTCACCCATATCGTAGAATCTCCGCTTGTTATTGTCCGATATTATCTCCTTCCACATGCTCATCACCCTGGTGAAGTTCGGCAGGTCGCCAGGATCGTCGTGTGACAATAGTATGGAACGCATGGAGGACGTGTCCTCGTCCTCGGAGCTGCTGCTGCTCACCGCTCGGATCTTGGCCTTGTGCGATTTGGAGGCTTCGCTGGCTGTCGTCGTGGAGGATCCGCCGCCTCCGATTATCGGAGTGAGACCCGCCAGCTTCAGCAGCATATTGTACTCGTGGAACTCGCGCTGGATGGAGCTGCGTCGCGAGTTGGCCATCTCCTCGGTGCTGCCCATGATCTGGTTGTATTCCCTTAGGCCCAACTCCTCCACGGGCACGTAGTGCTCACCGATCTCCACCAGATAGACGTAGCGGCTGACATGCGAACGGAAGCGCACGTCCTTGTGGTTGGGCGTCCAGCAGTGGACCACATGGCCCACCATCCCGGCACTCGGCTCCCAGTCCTTCCAGGACAGCCTGCCGCCGTTGTTGCGCATCCTTTCGCTGGGCCACACAACGGCATCAATGATGTCCAGGCAATCGTATATCTGTCCAGGGATTATGATTATTACCCTGATTAAAGGGCTTTATTTATATTTGTACTCACCCCAGTGTCATCAACTATGATGACCTTCTTGAAGATCTCAATGCGCGGCTTTCTGATGATGCCACCTCCTCCAGTTCCTGCTACTGTTCCCGATCCAGCGGGCTTTCCCTCCGCCACTGATACGCCCGTTCCCGTTTCGACGGAGGTGAGGCAAATGGGTCCCTTGGTCTTCCGGGGATAATCCCCTGGCGTGGTGATAATGTTGCCCAGGCCCACGCCCATTCCAAGGCCCAGGCTGCCCGATGAAGAGGAGAGCTTGGTGCTGCGCGGACTCGGCTCATGTTCCACTTGGGTTTGAGGTGTGGCCAGATCCTTTCCAGACTCTGCGCCGGTTCCACCACTGGCAATGGGCAAGGTGGCCCTGCGCTCGTGATCTCTGCCCCGACTACTGCCGACTTGCTGATGCAGCTGGCTCCGACTGCGCATGCCGCCACTACTGGTGGCCCTGGTGGCTCCTGCTCCTCCGCCTCCTCCTGCGGATCCTGAAGTTTCCTGATCCCGTTCTCTGTTCAGCAGCCCGGCAATTAGAGTTGTGGAGGTGGGTTTCGCGGGCATCACTGCCAGACCTCCGCGCACCACTGCCAAACTGTCGCTCACATAGCTCCCGCCCAGATTGGCGGGAATGGCTCCGCCGGGAACATTTCCCTGGCGCACGTTGTAGTATTGGTTGACGGTGAGGGTGTTGTAGAGCGGGGCAGAGATAAATACGGGCGCCAGGTCCCCGGACTCGCCGCCCGTGCTGCTGGCGGTGCCGGGAGCAGTCACGCCCAGGCCAGATCCCGCCGAAGCACCCACTCCCGTGGCCGTGGATGCCGCTCCCACGACGCTGCCGCCGCTGCCAAAGTTACAGGCGGCAAGCAGAACGGGTCCCGATCCCGGATGCGGTTCCAGCGCAGATCCCGAGCTGCAGCCCTGGCGACAGCGCTCGCGAATGCGGTGCCACCAGCCCAGCACCGTGTGCCTGATGGTGTCCAGTGTGATGGCGCCGCCGATCACCTCGCACAGTTGGGCATTCGTGTCTGCATAGGAGGTGGTCAGCGGAGACACGTAGATGGGATACCCAATCGGCTGATCGCAGCTGGAGTTGATGATATTGCGCAGCGCCTGCTTGGCATTCTGGATGCTGCCGCGCTCCGGATTGCGGTTCCGCAGATAGATCAGCTCCTGCTGCTGGCCCGCCCACAAGCCACGGACGCATTCCCGGTTGAGTTTGATCACCCGGAAGCTCAGACAGCGCTTTGTCAGCCGAATGATGCGGTACTCATCCGATCCGTCTTCCATCACGTGCCGCAGGGCCAGTAGATTGGGGGCTCCTCGTAGGACGGCACTTCGCCAAACTGGATCGGCTTCGTGCGAAATTACCAGCTCGTTGGAACAGTTGTCGATGGCCTCGTACAGGGCGTGAGGATCCAAGAACTCGTCAGGGTTGGTGATGTGGTCCTGCTGCAGCTTAAGGGCCATCTTAACGGCCGGCGCCACCACCGAATGCAGCAGCTCCATGTCCGCAAAGACCCATTCGTCGCGCGGCGAAGTGATCCGGAAATCTCCTTTGAAGAGGGCGTGCAGGCCGTGCAGGAAGAACTCAACGCCGGTCAGCGAACTGTGCGAGGCGGTGGCCAGTGATCGCCTGGCCAGCAGACCCAAGGCCAGGCAGAGGGAGACCAGCGGTGCATCCTTGCCCACGCTGGCCAGCTTCAGCCGGAGTGCGGGCTTCTCCTGGCTCTCCTTCCGGCTAGTCGGAGCTCCAGCTCCTGCTCCCGTGGCAGTGCTACTCTTGGCCAGCTTGACGAACACGTTTTGATCCATGTAGGTCACATAGCCACCCAGTCCGGGGGCACTCTCCGAAGTTTGCCGGGATATATTCGCAAAGCTGTGCGAGCTGCTTAGCTGCGGATCTCCGGCAACGGTGCCTGGACCTCCTGTGCCAGTGGCAGCACCTGCTCCAGCCCCTCCACCTCCACCGCTGCTCTCCTGGGCAACATTCTTCTGCGGCCGGCGCAACTGCTGCTGCGACTGTGACTTGGACTGGCCCGCAGCGGGACCAGCTGACCCACCGTGCGCCGAGAGGTTGGGCGTGCTCTTTGAATCATTGTGCGCGGGCGTCACTGGTGGCGGCGGGGCAGCAGCCGCCGTTGCAGGGGCCGAGGATGCTCCTCCAGCAGCCGCTGATGCTTGCGCAGGTGGAGCCGCTCCCATGGAGGCAGCATCCCGGCGCATATCCACGCAGTAGTTGATCCACTTGAGGTACACGTAGCAAAAACTGGAGCGCGTAATGCCCATCGCCCGGAAGTCAAAGTCCTCGTCCAAATTGAAATTGAAAATGGGATCCAGGTCGACGAACTGGCGGCCCAGCGTGTGCTGCAGGGCATCCTGGATGGGACCGGAGGCCAGCCACTGCTCCAGCTTGGGATTCCTCACCACGTAGTAGATGATGCTCTGAAAAAATAACATTTGCGGATTAGCTTAACCTGTTGAGCGTAAACCAAAGAAATCTCACCTTAATGTAGTAGGTGATGAGCACCTTGCGGTACTCGAACACCTGCAGCGTGGCACTGGCCAAGTTGTCCGATATGGAGTAGCCCTCGATGACGTACTGGGCGGCGACCACCTGCCAGGCCAGCCAGCGGGTGGAGAACATGGCGTTCGCGCTGAGCAGTCGGGGCAGGTGGCCCGGATCGCAGCAGCAGCAGCCGTCGTTGTCCTCCACGTCCTCAGTGATGGCCTCCACCTCGCGTTGCTGGCAGTAGGTGCCGCGGAACTCCAGGCCGCGCATCTGGAACGTGCACAGTCCGTTGCCCAGCTCAATGATGTGCACCAAGCAGTTGAGATCATCGGAGGCAAGAACTGCAAGAATGGGTATTAGAGTCTTGTCCGGCAGGAGCAGGATGTTCAGTGCTTACCAAAGCAGTCTCCTTGGTTAACGTTTCCCCAGCGACCCATTAGCAGATCGCCGCACAACGAGTGCTGCAGGGAGCGGGTCAGGTGCTCGTAGAATATGCTGTTCAGGTTGTTGTCGTCCGCACCTAAATCCCGCTCCAGCTGCGAGCTGAGCCGCGTGTTCGAGTGGTCTATTCGGCGCGTGTTGTAGTCCCGCTCCCAGAACTTGATGGGACGCACGTACGAGGTGAGGAAGATGGCGCTGCCCAGGAAGGGATTCAGCGGGGTGGAGAGCAGCGCCGAGATGCCCGCCTGCAGGAACAGCATTGCCGAGTGGGGCACACTGAACGGCTGGGCGAAGGCGTGGAAGGCGGAGCCCCAAGTTATTTGCCACGGAGCAATGTAGGTCACAATGAATTGCAGCTGGGAAAGAACATTGGTTACTGCCTGGATAGTACAGGTGTACTGGGGGAGTTCTTACCTTCAGCAGGAAGTCACAGCACTTGCGGAAGGCCAGCGACACGAAGAAGTAGTCAATGATGAAGGTCTCTGTGGCCATGGCGAAGTCGATGCGGAACAGTAAGACCGTGAAAATGATGATCAGGTACTGGTTGGTCGGATCCGAGTAGGCGTTCCTCACAACTGATGAGCGAGAAGGGAGTATTGGGATGAGCGTGAAAGTGAGAGAGAGGGAAGATGTACATAAGCGATATGAAAGACCAAAATATCGAGAATCCAAGCGGTTGACTTACACTTCAGAGCGCAAATGGCCACAATGAGGGTGCCCCAGGGCAATCCAAACTTGGCCACAATCAGCTGCGAGTCCGCCGTCAGCGAGGAGATGGCTAGCAGCGGGAAGAGCACGTTCCGCTCCAGGACACTCAGGTAAATGTAGAGCTTCTCGAACCACATGATCTTGGGGGCGTTGAGCACCTCGAACTGGCCGAACTCACGCTGCCGGAGCAGTGGACGGGCGAAGCAAAGCCAGGGCATGTGCTTCCTCATCTGGGGCACGATGTAGTGCAGCAGGAGTCCCAGTACGCCGATGAACGAGTAGAGTACCACGTTAAGATCCGGCTGCAGGGCGGTGAACACGGTGCTGCAGTGCAGCCCCAGTACACTGACCGCCAGAAGGGTCATCACCACCAGGTCGTTCTTCAGCCGAGTGGTCACGGTGGCCTGCAGTTTTCGGGGAAGCGGATCGGGAAGGTCACTGCCAGTCCCACTTCCATTGGCGTTGCCGTTACCGCCGGCGCCACTGCTGTTTTCGCTGGCCTCGGTGGTTCCGGTTCCCGTTCCCAGATTTCCCTGTTGTTTTTCATCGGCGGCAGCCTCTCCTTCCACGTCCGGATCTGCCTCCAGGCAGGCAGGTGTGGCATCTGTAGTTGCTGTGCCCGCTCCCGCTGTCAATGTCGACACGTCACCGGGATTGGTGGCTGATGAGCTGGAGATCTTGTCATCGCCCTCATCGGCTTTGGCTGCTTGGTCGTAGGCTTCCGCCAGTTCGTGCTTGCTGGCTTCCTCGCTGGCCAGAAGATCACCCGGCTGGTCCTCGCCCTCCGCCCCCTCTCCGGCCACCACTCCGGCCTCTGTCGCTGCCTCTCCTGCTCCAATGGAGGTGCACGAGCTGGAGGCTGTGATGGCCCTCTTGCTGCTGCTGATGGTCTTGGCCAGGGTTTGCTGGCTGCTGCCCAAGGACGAGGCCTTCGACTTGCTGTGCTTCTGCTGCAGGGGCAGGTCCTGTTCGGGCTCTAGATGGTCATCCGCGCCCTGATCCCTTTCCTGCTGCTCCTCAGTGGCGGCTAGCTTCTCCAGCGAGCTCAGCTCGATCTGCTCCTGCTCCGCCTTCGAATCCGTCTGCCTGCGCTGCTTCGGTGTGCTGGTGGCCAACTGAAGGGAAGTGCTATTGCCAGTCCCTGCTCTGGTAACTGTTCCAGCCGCCGCAACCTGCTGCACATGGCTGAGATCCTCGTCCTCATCGTCCCGATACGTGCTCACAATGCACGTCTTGATCAGACGCCACAGGTGGCTAAAGTCGCTGGCACAGCGGGACAGATGGTAGCCCAGTGGCACGAGCATGGCGCAGAAGATGGAGAACAGAATGTACTGCGTGCCCCGCTGCTCGTCCAGTGCTCCATACAGAGGTCCGTAGAGCAGCATCACAGCCAGCACCGATCTCACCACGCACAAAAAGGAGCCTGCAAATATTTAGGAATTAGTTTTAGATGCTGCATAAGGAAGCGGACTGCTTAAGGCAGGCTTTCACCTTGTGAGGTCAAAAAAATCAATTTTTTTTTGCAGTTTCGGATACATACATGTTTCAATTTTACTCTCCTAAAATTTCAAGTCGAAATCTCTTGAATTACGAAAGTTATCGGCCGTTTGGTGGACCGGTGTCATGCGCGTTGCCATTATAGTGCAAATTTTCAAACGCGTTTTTCTCGAAACCATGTTTTCCGAGTTGGCGGAAGTCGTACAAGCCGCAAAAATTGAGCAATCGTCATGAAATTTTTTATACATGTTCCTCAGAAGTATGTGCATGGCATAGACTAGGATCTTTTGAAAATATTAAAAATTGTTTATTTAAAAAAATAATGAGTAACGAAAAAATGAGGAAAAAACCGATTTTTTTTTCAAAAGCTCATAATTTTTGCATTTTTTATGTTTTTTCAATTATCCTAGTTTAAGCCATGCGAGCAAGTGTACAGATTAATAATATATTCGTTTTTTGCGTTTCAGATTATTTCTTAAAATTCCAAAAAATCCGTAATGAGGACGAGTTTTTCGCGGACATGCCGCCATTGTTGGGTACTCCCCCTCCCCCCTTCGCTTGGATCGCACTCAAAAAAATTGTGTAGCTTCAATAAACTGTACCCTACAACTGGCTAAAATTTTATTCCCACACCTACCATACTTTCCAAGAAATAAATTCCAGAAAAAAATCAGGTTTTGGGCGCCAACAAGGTGCAAGCCTGCCTTAAAAAGCGAACTCACCCAGTAGACTGCTAGCAGCATTTCCACCGAAGACGTGCATGTCGATCTGCTCCAGCAGGTACATAAGGAACGTGTTGATCTGCGGACACAGTCCCACCGAGAAGATGATGGGAAAGCACAGCAGCAGGATGTAGAGCGCGTGTAGCAGGAGGGCCACCACGTCGGCGGGCGAGTAGCGCATGCCAAAGAACACCACTGGGTCCGGCGGCCGTTCCCCGTAGTCCGTATCCAAACGCTTGAGGAGGAGCAGCAAGCCGCCGCCCAGGCAGAAGTATATGGCCCGCGAATAGGCCACCGTCTTGTTGAATCCATGCACCGGCGACGCGGCATCCGGCTGGACACTCTTCACCAGCGAGTACTGAGCACCGGCAATCACCGCGCAGAAGAGCAGGGCACACAGATCCTTGTAGTGATCGTGCTGCAGGATCGCCGCTCCCAGGCACGCCACCATCGTGCACAGCAGGCTGGCCAGGAGCACGTGCATCCAGTGGAGATCCCGGTCGAATAGGGCCAGAAGCTCCAGCCGGTCCATGGCGATCTTGAACTCGTGCTCCTGGCCGCACCACTTGAACCGGTATTTGTAGAAACTCTTTGGCACCGCTGGCTTTTCCGCAGCAGAAAGGTGGCACGCTGGCCTCCAGTAGTCGCAGTAGGGTGCAAAGTGGCCGTCTACATTCAGCATGGGTTGGCTCATCTGGCTGATCTGACTGATTTGGCTGATTTGGTTGCTGGGATGATTGGCCAGCCCCAGGGCGCTTAAAACTCCTCCGCCGGCGCTCGATGCTCCGCCACCGGCTCCCGAAACAGAAACGGAGGCAGCTTCACTGGCGTTGGCCACAGCAGCTGCCGCATCGCTTAGCTGCTGCAGTGCGTCCAATTGGCTGCGCGCCACCTGGCGCTCGTTACGGATCACACTGATCAATCCTTGGACCGAGAAGGGGGCGCTGGATGGATGCCGCGAGCTGGAGCCCCCGCGCATCAGCATGCCCACCTGATGTTGCGTCATCTGCTGGGTGGCAAGCGTGTTTCCCCGGACTCCGGAGTTGGCCTCCGCCGCCGCTGCCAGCTGCTCGCACATCAACTTGGCATCCAGACGCAGCTTATCCCTGGCCAACGCCCGCTCAATGTTCGTCATGTGCTCCACACTGGAGCCGGAGGTGGGATGGGCACCCTGGAGCGCTTGAATGGCGTCCTGGTAGAACTGGAAGTGTGCATTGGACATGTTCGGCGGAGCCAAGCTACTGCTCGCCGGGATCGGAGTGCCGTCCGCCGAGATGCCCATGATGGGTCGGCCCCGCTCGTCCACCGCTCCGCCGTGCATCAGCCAGAGCATCTTGTGGATGTCGGCGGTCAAGCTGTCGGTCAGGCTGATGCTGTGCGTCGAGTTCGAGGAGGAGGAGTTGCGCGAGGTCAGCTTGGTCTGCTTGACCAGTGCGAACTCATTGCTCAACTCTCCCGCATCCGCGGGGGAGCCGCCTCTCCGTCTCCGCCTCAGTTCATCCACTTCCCGGTACTTCACCACCTTCGGGATGGCTCCCAGGCTCTTGGCAGCCATTTTTGAGGTGCAGGGTTGTTCCTCGTCCAGTTGGCATCTCTGCGGCTGCAGATGCTGTTGCTGTTCCGACTCTATTCCAGCCAGCAGCTGATCTTTGGAGCTGGCGCTCACCTGCTCGCAATCGCTGGACGGGCAGCCCGAATCCGCCTCGCTGCGAATGGGAACGGGAGGAATAGGGGCTGGGACAGCGGCCACAGATTGGTGTGATAGATCCTGGCGAAGTTGCTTGTCCGCTTGGATTTCGCGCAGCGTCGCCTGCTGGCGATTCCGATCGCTGAGCAGCGGAGATCGCGACCCCGTGTTGTTGTCCTCCGTCTCCTCGTCTTCGTCATCGTTTCCGCCACTAACTCCTACTGGCACGGCTCCTCCCGTCGATCCTGCACCCTCCACTGGTGTCCCTTTGTGGAGCTGGTGGTGCAAATGAGAGTGGAGAAGATCGTGGCTTTTCAGCACGTCGTCCAGCTGATTGTGCTCCTGCTGCATTTCGCTAAGGATGTGGTCCAGGTTGTCGTCGAAATCTTTGAACACATCCTCGTCGGCGGCGTCGTCGTCAGCCAGAAATCCGCCCACATCCGATTCGGCGCTGTAGTGCGTTTGGCTGCAGCCCAACGCCCTCGTTCTCCTCCGGATTGGAACGTCGTCCACCTCGTCGTCATCGTCAGCGTTGCCTTGGCCGATTCCCAAGCAAACGTCTGCATGCTCCTCGAGCGCCGTCTTCTCGTCTGAGTGCTCCACTATAGGGTATACTGGAGGTTCAATCAGTGCCGTTGTGGAGCCGCAAGCGCTGGAGCTGCCAAAGAAGAGGCTGCTACAGGTGCTGCCGCCACCAGGCGCTCCGCCTCCAGCGGCGGGATTTGCGTCGCCAAAGCTCTGCGTGGGATACAGATTTAGGTGCTGGTTCCGCACCAGACTCTTGCTGGGCGGGGGCAGGGGATTCCGCATCTGTTGTTGCCCCGAGATGGCCTCCACGCTGTTCGGATGCGGACTGAGATTAGATACAGAGGGCTGCGGGCAAAGTACCTCCAAGGCGGCGCTCTTAATGCGCCTCACTCCGCCAGCTCCTCCACTTCCTCCTGCTGTCCCCGCTTCTCCGACCGGGCCTCTGGGTCCTCCACCACTCACCAGGGAGTTTTTGTTGCCTTGACCCGAACCGTGTTTGTAGTTGGTGGCGTTGGAATGTCTGCGTCGCTTCATCCCGGCAGCAGAGCCGCCTCCTCCTGTTGTTCCACTTCCACCTGCTCCCGATCCTCCCGTTCCCGGCGGAGCGCCTCCTGCCAGCTGAAGTGCAGACATTGTGCTCGTGGGATCCTTGCGGATGATCGCACCGCCAAGGTGATGATGCAGGTGGTGGTGGTGGTGATGATGGTGGTGATGCTGGGCGCGGAAAGTCGGCTGGTGGGGCTGCTCGATGCCCAGATCTGATTTGGTGTAGCTATCGTCCTCCAGGTACACATCCGGAAAGGGATCTTCGCGGACAATAAAACTATATTAGTTTGACCAATATTTGATTTGGATTTCCCACTAGCTCACCTAATATCCAGGACTGCAGCGCCCGGCTGCAGGCGTCGGCCACTCCACCGCTGCCTGCATTCCTTGCCAGGCCCAGTTCCATGTCCTCCACATCGTTGGCGCCGCCACTGCCTCCTCCACCGCCGATCACCGCCAGCGCTCCGATACTGCTGGCCGCACTGTGATGCGGCAGTTGCAGAACGGGCTGGAAAAGACCGCCGCGACTCTGGTGCTTTAACCGCTCGTCGTGCGTTTCCGAGCTTCTGTGGCGCTGCAGACGCGAGGAGCGTCCGGGATTCGCCGCAGGATTCGAGGCAGGGGCGATGACCACGACGGCGGTGGAGGAGGAGGATGCATCTCCACCACCCATTGCCGCCGACGGTGTGCTGGCTATGAAGTGCTGGCGCGGATTGGCCTGGCCCCGCGCCTTGTTCGTCGGCTGGGAGTGCAGGAACGATGGCGCAGCCGTGGCTATCGTGTCCGACTGGTTGCGCATTAACTTGTGCTCTACGCTGGAGTTGGCAGCGGCTGCCGCCGTGTCCAGGCTGCTCTGGCGCTCCAGGCGTCTTCGCTGTCGGCGGCTAAAGACCTCGGAACACTTGCGCGATAGATGTCCCGTCCGGACGTGCGGAACGGGCGCTGTTCCCGTTCCCGCTCCTGCAGGACCCAGCGCACCGACTGCTCCGCCGGACCTGCTGTCGCCGCCGCTGCTGCCACCATCGGCGCTGCCCGCACTGCTTCCAGCCGCCTCCACAACCTCCGAGTAGACGGTGAGGTACTTGTTGAAGAGATCCGCCTGTGCGGCGGCGCTGGTGGAGGTGTTCCCGCCCGGTCCCGTGCTCCGGATGGACTTGCTGACACTGGCGGAACCGGCCAGCGATTGCTGATCCTGTTGACTGCCGCCGGACAGCATGGAGGGGGCGTAGAGCATCAGCTCGATGGACTCGGAGCTGTTTTTGCGATGCACATCGACCTTGAGATCTGCGGATTAGGGGATCTGGGGATTAGGCTCCAGCACAAGGCCACAAAAAGCACAACCTACCAATGATACTGTTCACATTGTCGATGGACATGATGCTGTTCTCCTCGCTGGCCTCGTTGATGGCCTGCTCCACGGAGATTCGTGAGCCACCCGGCCGGATGACCTTCATCTCGATGCCGCCCTCGTCGTCGTGGCGCGGTTCCGTCTCCTTGGTAACCTTGAAGAACTGCCCCTTGAGGTTCACCTCGGACATGGTTTGGGCGCGATCGTACAGCCGGTGCAGCGCCAGATTGGCCAGCTTCACCATCATAATGGTTAAGCTGGTTATCACGCAGTACAGGCACCATGTCAACCAAGTGCTCGGAAAGTACTGCAAGATCAGGGGGAGATCAGGAAGGTCTACCTACAGATCTTGAAGAACTACTCACCAGGTAGGCCACGAAGGGCGAGCAGAGCAGGTAGAGCCACAGGTAAAGGTGCACCACGTTGCAGAAAACACCTTGGTGCGGATCGTAGAAGTAGCCGCCCGTCAGCGAGGCCCACACGCCCTGGCGCAAAATCTCCAAGGTCTGCGAACCCATGGTGGCCTATACTGCATCGCTCAGCCGCCGGATGGATGAGGATCCACGCTTCTGCTGCTCCAGCTTCCGGATTACTCACAGGAGGAGCTGCTGTCCTTCGTCTAGCTTCCGTTTTCGTTTGTTGATTTGCTGATTAAGCCTGCCGAGCTGCAGGCGGGGGCGGGACAGCGGGGTGCGTGGTTTGCGGGCGGGGCCTTGAGGGGGGCGATGGCAGCGTGGGCGGGGGCAGGGGGAGGGCGATGAGGAAGAGGCAGAGTCGCTGCTTTTTCTGGGGGGAAAGCTGTGGGGCAGGAGGCACTGCTGCGGATCCGCTGAAAGGAAACACTGCAACTCCGGACTGGGCTCCGCCGTAGTTGGCTTTCCGGGGGCGTCTCAATGCTGCTCCGAACGGATAAATCGAATATTGCTCGCAATCCTGCCGTAATTTTTTTCTTTTTCTTTTGTTTAGAGCTGTCAAAGTTGTCGATAGTATCGATGGTTGAGCTATGCCCGGCACAATCGATTGTTTTAGGACTATCGCGATATTATGATGAGAAATATTTGTGTTCGCCTGCATTTACATACAGATAAAATGTTTATTTGTACCAGCAATTTGATATATATTTTCTTCTATATATCAGATCAGCTCTAAAACACTTTAGATTTCTTAAAATGTCAGAAAAATTGACTTCAAATAATGTGAATGGGATAATAATTTTAGCAAACATTTTAAATAGTTTTTTTTATCGATATTTTGTCAGTTTTGAAGGCGCCTCTTTTTAAAGTGCGGCGTTGATTTATAAATACGTATTTCGTTTTGTACTCGGACCCCAAATTATTGTCTTTTTATTTTACATTTTATTCGAATTTGAGACTTGGGATGGAACTTAACAATCCTCCCGAAGAATTAATCACATCACAATGAAAGTATCTAACATAACATGATTCATTCTTTATGATTCAACATATTTTTTTGTTTAGGCTTCATTTCCAGAGATAAGATTTTTGGTAATTTTTCATGATGTAACCCCTTTCGAAAGTTTCAATAAATGGCATGCAGAAAAGTGACCTAAAACCTGCACTTCTTAGCCCATAACTTTTATTACGGACATCCGATTTCAAAGTGGCATACTTTAAAATGATTGTCTTTTCATTCTCTGAAAAACTGTGTTTCCAGTTTTTTTTTTGTTTTTGGGTCGAATTTTCATCATTTTAACCCCTGTCCAAATTTTCGAAAAATGGGCTTGCAGAAAAGTGACCTAAAACCTGCACTTCTTAGCCCATAACTTTTGTTACGGACATCTGATTTCAAAGTGCCATACTTTAAAATGATTGTGGTTTCATTCTCTAAAAAACTGTGTTTCCAGTTTTTTTTTTGGTTTTTGGGTCGAATTTTCATCATTTAAAGCAATGTAACCCCTTTCCAAATTTTCGAAAAATGGGCTTGCAGAAAAGTGACCTAAAACCTGCACTTCTTAGCCCATAACTTTTGTTACGGACATTCGATTTTAAAGTGGCATACTTTAAAATGATTGTGGTTTCATTCTCTAAAAAACTATGTTTCCAGTTTTTTTTTTGGTTTTTGGATCGAATTTTCATCATTTTAAGCAATGTAACCCCTTTCCAAATTTTCGAAAAATGGGCTTGCAGAAAAGTGACCTAAAACTTGCACTTCTTAGCCCATAACTTTTGTTACGGACATCCGATTCCAAAGTGGCATACTTTAAAATGATTGTGGCTCCACTCTCTAAAAAACTGTGTTTCTACTTTATTTTTTTTTTTGGTTCATTTTTCATCATTTTCAGATAGATATTTATTAATAATAGTAGTACATAAACCAAGTCCCTTTAAACATTTGTAGTGCTTACATATATCATTAAATAATGGCAAAGCTGAATAACAAACATCCCTACACATTTCTTAAAATTGAATTCGCCTCACTCTGATTAAACTTTATTTCTCTTAAATCTACGATTTAGGCTAGAAAAAAAAACAAACAAAAAGGGTTCGTAAGTATCTAGGGAATCACAAAGAGTCGGGATAAACCGGGCGATCGGTCCACGATCAGATCAGTCTGCGCCCCACTTTGGGCGCTGCATAGTCAGCGCTCCTCGCTGCTGCTCCCATCGCCGCCGATGAAGTCGTCCCGCAATCCGCCCCTGTGCTCGTAGTTGTGGTGGTGGTGGATGTGCTCCTCCTCCTCTTCCTCCTCGAGTGACGGGAGGGCAGGAGGCGGCACCGGAAGTGGGTGGTGCTCGTGGTGCTCGTGGTGGTCATGGTGATCGTGGTGGTCGTGGTGGTCGTGCTTCTCGTGGTGGTGAATGTGCTCCTTGGTCTGGTGGATCTGGATGGGCCGGTGGTCCTCGTGAATCACCTTCTTTTCCTCCTTTAAAACGAGTGGCTTGTGGTGGTGGTGCACGTGTTTCACTACTGTGTGGATGTGCTTCTCGATCTTCTTGTGGATGGGCACGTGGATCACAATTTTCTTCTTTTTCTGGTGGCTCCTAGAAGAGAATGCAAATATAAGAATATTAATTGGTTTAAATATTATGCAAAGATTGGACAAAACTATGTTTATCCCTGATATGTTAACAGGATATTACAATAAAATAATATTTCCAAATGGATTTGAAGAATGTTATTTTATGATCACTAATCCAAACTATATTTTTAAGTTTACATTTTTTGAGCTTCTAAGTTTGAACTGATATAAAATAATTAGTTTTCATAAAAACACCATTAACCAATGATCTAGTTTGATATTATTTTTGAGTAATCCGTTGGTAGTCCATACCCCGCATCCGTTTCCGGCACGCAGACGAGCAGCAAAACCAGCGCCACCACAATCGAGAGCCTCAGCAGCTGCAAAAAATGATCACGGATGTCGGGTGTAATGTAATCCTCGGGTATTCCTGGGCATTTATCCCGAGTTTGCCACTCACCAGACTGCGGTTATCCATATCGCTTGGCTGGATTTCTAAGGTGTCGAGGTGTTGAAGGCTCCGACGATGCGGCCGCTTTGATTGCTGCCCCAGTGCAACCATTTTATTTATACAGGCCCACGGAATGCGGTGGAATACGAGTACGCCGGCGCCAGTTGGCGGCGCTTCCGTGACGCAGTCCATCGGAGCTATGGGCAAAACCATGGGTCTTGGGTTTTGCTTTGCTGGAGCCGCAATCGTTGGAGCCGCAGCCGCTGCACATGCGCACGCGCCACAAACGAGAAACACCAGCTACTCAGTGCAATTTTCGTTCATTTCGCATGGCAGCGATCATCGTGTCATGGATTGTGGGTGGTTTCGAGCTAGGTGAGGATTAGCAGACTAGACGGTGGTTGATCGTACCCTATACCAGGACCTAAATTGGCCTTCATTTGTGAAATCTACACTGCGAAAAATAAAAATGTGTTTATATTTTTATTACAATAATTATTCATATCATTTCAATGAATATACAATACCAGTGGAGGAGTACAATGTTATAACGTACCATAATTTTTTTCACAAACAAATAACTTATATAACTTTATTTAAATGCCTCTTCAGCATATATAGATAACATCTTATGTTCTTGTCTAAAACTTCTTGAGTTGGAAGTTTGCTAATATTAATAAAAAGGTATTCCTTTTTGTTTACTTATTTCGGTTTGTTTTGGAAGTCAGAACTTTAAGAGTTTATATATTTATAGAAAGGGCATTCTATTTTCGAACTCCTTTTTTCACGTCGAATTTTGTTTTAAGCTTAAGACATCTTCAATGGCTGCCCAATTAATCAGATAAATGGGATCCCCTGACATCGGATTTTCCACTAATTTGCAGGGCATGGGAGCTTCGTCCACATTGATGGCTTTACCATTGTCTTTTTCTTTGTTTTTCCGTTTTTCCGTTTTGTCTTGCCTGTGTGTGAACTTCTTCTAATATTTTTGCTTTTTTTTCAGCAGCTCACGCAGACGGAAGGCACGGAAAACTGCGCCCGAAACTGAGGCTCCAAAAGACCCAAACTCAGTCAACGGAAATAGCAGGAGTGCAACGTGTGTTTAATACCCACATAGATATGTTGCATGGTCGCCCAGCCCCCTGGATATTATTTCCCCACCCGATTTTTCCCGCTTAGTTGAAGTACAAGTACATGGCACGTAACGCGAGAAATAGAGAAATACGTTACAAATAGATCGCATGCACAAGGCGCATATTTGTATTATGCAATCGTACAGGCGATTTGCCAGATTTGCGGGTGTTATTTAATTGTGAATCGCCAAATTATTAGTTATTCGTTTTTAAATGCGATCACCATTAGAATGTGGAGGCCTATCGATTTCGATGGCAGTTATCGGTTGGCGGTTGGAGCCCCAAAGGAAAGAAGAAGCAGCGACGAAGAAGAGGGGAAAGAAAAGAGCGAAGCGAAAAGAACAGAGAACTGCGATAATAGCGTCACCCCAGCACAGTGGCCCAAATCGACGATTAAGCTGTCTGAAAGGTAACCTTTCAATAATAAGTCTGGAAAGTCCCTTGATACAATCAAATAGCTATTTAAATCCTCCTCAAGGTCAGATATTTTACTTTAAAAAGGATGTCCTATAATATATATACAATATTCACAAGGCTTATAATCAATACTATTTATAAGCCTTGTGAATATTGTATATATTATTTATAAGCTGCCACGCTGTAGATAAACATTAGGAACCTTATAGACTTCAAATGATGACTTTTTAAGTTAAATTGCTAACTAAAGTAAGTTAAAGGTACACTTTTATTTAACAAAAGCTATGAGCCTCTTTCTTAACATATCTAAATATTGCTGGTAAAAACGAACTTCTACTTTGAATAAATACTTATACATATAAATAATAATGAATCATATTAATATGTTGTATATATTGTCTTTGCATGGATCATTTGTTTTCTAAAACGATTATAATGATGAGCCAGAACTTGTTCTTGCCACATTGATCATGTGGCCCACCGTGCGTAGACTATCTGAGTGCGCGACTTGCATGTGTGTGCGCCCCCCAATCGAAATCTTTTTTTAGTATTGAAAGAACAGTCGGGCAAGAAAGTTGGGGCGCAGCAAAATCGAGCCAGACAAAGTAAATAACTGAATAACGGCATACATATAGACAGTATTCAATTCCGTGGATTATTTGTTAATAAACAGCAGCTAATAACAGTTGTCCGCCGTGTTTCATTTGGTTACTATCCATTTATTTTCCATTTATTTTATGTTTTTGTTGTGGTGCGTCTGTGTGTGAACCAATTGTTGCTGCTGCAAGAGTATTGGTGCCGTGATTAATAAACTACCAGTGACAAAGCCCAAAAAAGCAAAAAGTAAAATAATATGCAATCATAACGCGGATTATCGAGAGATCACGTTCTGGAGATTTTCTGGTTGATATTCGCTCATAATTCAATTTCTGTTTGAGACTGTCGAGTTGCACCAAATGTTTTGAAGTGTGTGCAAGCAGTGATCGCATC